AGGCGTTCATAGGGATAGTGCCACATTTTCGTTGCGGCTTTATATCTCATTCCTTATTTATTATGGGTTCCATGGCACGATTTCTCTACATCCAGTCTTGTAATTTTTGGATGTAATATTAAGTCGTTCTTCTTAGTCTGTTAATCTGATAACTCATGATTGTTCTGGATTTTTCGAGTTTTATGCAGTTTGTTCAGAGCTGTGAACTGGTTATTCTTCTATTTACTGCCGTTTTATCGTATTTTTGTTTGCATGACATCCATTTTTCAAACATCGTATTTAATTGTTATTTAAGTTAAGATGAGTTTCAACTAAACTGCGTGATCCTCGATCAAGAACTGCTATAATACTTCTATGAAATCACAAAGACGAATACATATTTGGTTTGGTGAATTTCCGATTATTTGGGTTGTTGGCACTTCTTCCCGATAGTAGTTAGTTTCTTGTATATGGATTTTCCTATTTTATTTCCATGTAGAAGGACTGCTTCGACTTCTGAATTTTTCTACCTTTCAGATTTCCGAAGAACTTGAGTTCCGATGAGTTCTTGTGGCTGGTCCATTTTTCTTGTGCTTTGATGTAGCAGAACCCCCATAGCTCTATATATATATATATATATATATATATATATATATAGAATGCATGTTGTTTCATTAGGTGTTCCCTGACTGATTTCTTCTTCCGAATAGCAGAATGGTATTAGTAGATTGTTCCTACTGACTGTAGTTTGTGAGTAACAGCAGTTTTTAGTTCCAGTTACATATTTCTATGCTTTGTTTGTTGACAATTTCTGCTGTAAATAAATTTCTTCATTATTAGTGCTGTGCAACGCATATCTGTGTACTGTTTTTGGTGCTTTATACCTAATGTATCGATGGTAGTTACAGTTCTCTGATTTCCATAAAGGTATTTTTTGACATGCATAGACCTCTGTGCGGATCCCATAACTTCTTGCATTCGTTTCGTTTTCGCCGCATTCATCACTCACAAAAGTGTAGTGGTGAAGTGCGCTGCTCCCCGGTAAGGACAACAGCGCGTGTTCGTTCTCCACTGCATACACCTGTGGTCCGGAGTTTTGCAAATATCTCAGCATTTCATACTCACAAAAGTCTTCGAACATTTCGCGTGTTGTTTCGGCTACACCTCACCTTCCCTATGATCGCTGTGGAGGCATGATCGAATCGATTCTCCTTGCAATCTAGTCAGGATAAGGCGTTCACGCGTGGGTTAGAGAGGAGCTTGCGGGAGGGTGTCGAAGCGGAACATTGCTTCCTAATGGGCTGAATTATTACCCACTGAGCTATCTTCCTACCATTCATAAAGGATAGGACCACATTATGGACTACTGAGAACCGGTTCCACGGATCACCCTCATAGTTTTCTTCTAAGCTGATTGTATTCTCATAGTCAATTCGGTCGAAACCTGCAATCAAAGAACAGGGAATTATATGAGTGGCGGTTAGGAGCTTCCTCCAATAAATAAACTCCACCGTCTACTCTGGGATTGACTGGAAAGCCACCCCTGAGTATATCCAGCTACCACGTTCAGACCTTAGCAAGCTATACGTGGGTATGAAAGAATTAAACGCAGTTAGATAAATGGGCATCATTCCGCTGACACAGAAAGAGCCCCCGATAAGGCAGCGCTGGGTGGAACGAGTGCGCAGAGGCTGCTGAAATTTAGGGCCATTCTAGGCTGCCTAAATCGCAAGGGACTAAGGTGTCGTTCTGTACCCACAATGCATGTACACTTGCATCCTTGTCCTCTATAGAAGACTTGCTCATACAAGCAAGAAGGATAAAGTACGGCGTCGTCGGACTGGCTAAGAAGAGAAGATGCCGCCCATTGAACGACGTCAATGACATCTGAGAAGAACGGTTTCTTTGAACATGCGACAATAGAGAAGTCGGAGGCATCGGCGTTCCAGTCAACATGAGTTTGCTCATGAACATCGATTTATTCGAGCAACTAACAACACAAGTCGGACGTTTACGATTAGAGAGATGAGAATCAATACCGGCTTTGACAATTCTTATCGTTTACGCACCGACATCAAGCTATGACGAAAAAGGAGTCGAAGCGTTCTATGTGGACTTGGAGAAGTTCTACAGAGAAGACCATACATTCTTCAAAGTCAGCACTGGAAATTTTAACGCATAGATTGGACTAAGAAGAACGTCTAAAGAACATTGGGACCGACGGATTAGAACGGAACGAGCAGGGTGAACGGCTATATGAGTTTATCATAATGACCGAGACCTTTCATGGTTACCCGCAATTGCAGAAACCCCACTCTCAACGCTGGACGTGGGAGTTTCCCAGTGGAGAGTACCATGAAGAAATATACCACCTAACAGTAAATTAAAGTTTCTATCTAACCGTTGTCGCAGTTCTCCGAAATTTCTGCAGGGGATCGTACAATCCATTCCGTGCGCGGTTTCATTTTTTGCGGAGAAGAGAAAAACCCGCGAAATTTAGAAATTCCAAGTCCCAAAACCACCAAAAACTGGGACTTATTCAGTTCATTAGTCGACTGTTGGGAAGATGCCGTTGTCAATAACATCGACGAAGGATACGATCACCTCATTCAACATCTTCACGTTGCCGCGATGAAAGCTGAGACTTCGAAAATCACCAAGAGGCGTCTGTCTCCAGAAACACTCGAGCCGATACGCCAGCTTGGAATAGCAGTAGTCATGGTCGAAGCTGCAGAGGCCGGGAGAGGGATTCGTAAAGTCCCCACCTCCACTGCAGCTTCGCCAATTGCAAACTCAAGATGATTGCATTCCCACACCCAGACGAAACAGTTATAGTTTCCGTAAAGGCAATGGCGAAAGTCATTCACAATGTCTACTCAGATCTCTTCAATAGTCACGTCCTGCTGCCCACTCATGAAATAAAGAAGGATGCATATTTGGAACCACCGGTTCTTCCTTCCAAAATCGACATGCTGTTTCTTCTGCAAAATCGGACAGTACCAGTTTGGAACAGGATGAGATCTGAACACCTGAAGAACCTTCCGCCAAATCTCGTTAACACTGGCTTGGCTCTTCACACGATTCCTCTCTGAATGCAAGGTCCCTACTCAGTGGAAGACCAGCAAGACCGCGTTATTGTTCAAGAAGATTAACCTACACGGTATTGGTAACTATCGCCCAATATGCTTGCTATCTGTCGTCTACAAACTTTTCACTCGAGCTCTCCTAAACAGGTTTGACAGAACACAACGAAGGACTTACCACGATCTTAACATAGACGTCAAAGAAGCGACTAGGCAAAGGTGATGCTATCTCGCCAAAATTATTTATCACCACCCTCGAGAACGTCGAGCGAACCCTGGAACGGGCAACATGAGAGTAAAAGTGATCGTCGGCAATTACACGGTCTTCGCTTCGCTTATGACATCGTTCTTATAATACCAAACATTAGCCAAGCGGAATGAATGCTTCCCGACTTCGATAAAAGTCTGTTGCAAGATTGGTTTTAGACTAAATCTCACAAAAACGCTGTCCATGAGGAACGGATTGGTTTCGTATGCCTCATTCACACTCAACGGGACGAATATCCCCGAATGGGGAGATCCATTTACGCCTATCTAGATGGGGAAATCAACGTGATGTACCACTTAAGTCCAGAGTTGAGCAAGAGGAATCGAGAGCCTTCGGGAGCTGTCATTGGTATCAAGGATGTGAAGAAAACAAGGAGTACCCTACTCCATGCCCACACTTTGGACTCAACGGTACATAACGCCTTAACGTATGCCTCAGAAACCTGGTTGTTGCATAAGCAGGATGAAACTACCGTAGTCTGAAAACTAGTCGAATTATAAGAACGATGTTATTGAACGCCTAGTCGAAAGGTCCATGTTAGGAGTATCTCGTATCGCACAAGTAAGGGAAGGGATCCGAAGCTCCGACCTGCGTCAACGGTCAAAAATCAAGGATGCTATTTTGTACACCAAACAGTCGAAGATGAGGTGAGCTGGACGCGTAATTCATATGAACGGCATCCGATGGGCAAGAGCCGTTAGTAACTGTATTCCTAGGAATGTCAAACGTGCTGCAGGAAGAACATTTACCCAATGGTCAAGGTTCTCACAAGCACTAGAAGAAAGATATGATGATTAACGAGTCCCTAAAGCGAACAGAACCTACTGGGCCACCCTTACACGCGACAAAAAAATATGTGAGATTTACTGGCGCATGCTCGAGTCATTCGACGATCAGCCTGACTACAAGTGGTACAGGTGAGAACAGGGTTGAAGGTTTATTAATGAAGATGTAATGAACAACTTTAATGCGCCATCGTCGGTTCAAGGGTTTTTATTCTTTCTTAAATCATCCATAAAAAGAATCACTGTTGCACGATTTCCTTATGTAGCCATATAAATGATGCCGTTTTTCTCACATGAGCTTCCAATCGTCTTGTACATATGTTTAATAGCCTAGGCTGATCGAATTGTGACTCGACGTTGGGTATACATTGTCTCCTATTTCGCTGTGAACATTAGATTATCTGCATGTTAAATAGAAGGCTTCCAACGGTTTACCGCCTCATTGCGGCTGGGAGGTGTTCCTAGGTGTCGGACTGCGATATACAGCGGGGGGATTCGTCCCCCCGGCAGGCTCTCCCAACCTGAGAAGGAGTCCGGCGTTTCCATTAGGAAGCCTAGCTAAGGGTAAACCAATACGAGGATCCACCACCTATCGAACTAGTCGTATGTTGGCAAATCTCCCTGCGATCCACCAGGATGGCGACTGCTTGTGGTAATGATAACCTGAGGCAGACTTTGGCTGGGGCCCCGCACAATCAGTGAGAATGAGCCGTTCAAGTATCGAGTAAGTAAGTAAGTAATTAGAAGACATTGAGCTGTTAGTGAAGCTGTGTAGCACCTTTGATCTGTCGTGTCGTGTTTCATCATTTTTTTCCTCGTAGATCTATGGCACCAAATTTTAAATTCCAGGTCTCAGCTCTGTTGATTGCTTGGTTGACGGTATTGATGTGCTCCGAGTGGCATGCACGTTCATTCTTCCTGGAACTAAAACCTCGGGCAGAGTTAGCTTCGTTGTTTGTCGATTGTCCTCCTGATGACTTCTCAAAATGTAGCCAGGAAGCAGGGGATGGCAACAATAAAGAGTTGGTTTTTCAATTTCCTTTGCTGGATAAGTTTCACGAAAAGCCTTCATTGAAGTTTATCCGATTTCATCACACTTCAGCGTTAATTTGTTATGCATTTAAATTCGTACTCTTCAGTGCAGCTATGTTTATTAAAAAATTATTGTTAAAATCCTCTTAGGAATGGAGCGTTGGATATGATACGTGTTAGTGAGCATAGTGTTGAATTGGGAATACCACTAGTTGCTGCGGAAAGTTTACGCCTGGAACAAAAACTGACCCGATACCGAGCCTCTATATCGGACCTCACATTTTATCCACAATCACTTTGCGCATCCACTTGGGCCGACAATCATCGGATTTTTATGTGTAAGCTGCACGTCGAAGCAGGTGGAAAGCCGTTAGGTGGGTCATTTTTTCATCTCTGCGCTTTTTTATATTAGTTCTTCAATATTTCGCGACATCAGAACTGAAAATGTTTGCTGTACTTTGTTCCTCGTCGTGCTTTGCAATTTATCAGGGCATTCTTTGTCATTGTCACTTGTTTACTAGGCGTAGTCAGAAAGGAAAAGTTAATATAGTTCATGGTAAGTATGCATTCCCATAAGGCGCGTGTGGCGCAGTGGTCGGAGGCGCCCTGCTACACATACGTGGAGTCGATTCCTGCGCCCATGACCCACCAAACCTTCCATCCCTCCGGGGTCGGAGAATTGTTACCAGATTTATTTGGGAGGATAGAAGTACTGGCTCGATACATCGGTAGACATTGACATCGCGAGTCATTGTAAAGGTCAGATATGCATTCAATAACCTCCAAACGATGCTTAATGAGGTCGCATCCTTCATGATGCATGACGCATCCCTCAGAGATTGATCAATAACGAGAGCTTTATCCTTTATCCTTTTATGCATGCTTATTGTGTTCATAAAGGAAGTATTCAGAGCTTCATTTTAGTACCGAAAACGTTTCATAGACTTGCTCGTGATATGCGCGACACGAAGCCATTGGAAGAATATTGCAAAGAAGCCCACTCAAATATCTTAATATGTTGCACTCAATGTGGACGACCTATTACAAAGGATGGAACCAGGTGCTTAGTTTTGCGAGCTGATTGCAATTGTAAACATATAAACATATAAGTGTATACGCATATATATATATATATATATATATATATATTATATGATCCATTTCCATGTCCGTTGTGCGAGTCTCGGAACTTCTCACATTCGATTCGTATCCTTGCATCCATCGCCCACTAAAGTCTTCCAGTTTTTAGATGTAGGATTAGCTGCCGCTTGGGGATTTCCACTTCATCTTGAATGCCTTGGAATGCCGGACGAGTCGATTCTCACTGGAATCTTGAAATGGCCGGGTTGGAGCGCTCCTAGTTAGACTGCAGAGAGTGGTGAGAGGCTTGGTGAGCCTGGAGTAGGATCGACCCAGAACCGTGCTCGTGATTATGTATACATATGTGTATGTATACATGCACGTATATGTATGTATGTACGTATATATATGTTATATGTGCGTGTATGTATAAGCATATATATATGTATATGTAGTGGTGCGAATCTCTCATCTTTCTGAGCACAAGAAATTGATACCGGACTTGTACGAGAAAATACCGCTTTCTACAATGCATTTGGGACAGTCTAGCTCGGCTGTCTTGGGACTCTAGTGAGAATCGATTTGACCGGCATTCCACGACATTAAAAATGAGATTTAACTCCTCAAGCAGCAGCGAAAGCCACACAAAGACCTTAGTCGGTTATGGACGCAGGGAAACGGATCGAATGTGAGAAATTCTGGGACCTACAAAGTAGATGGGAACAGGGTGGTTTAAATTGAGCACATGTACATATATGTGTATATTTAAGCGTATATATATATGTATGTGTACATACATACGTACGTACGTATATATAAATATAAATATATATATACGCAAGTCGACATTAAAAAAGAATCTTATAACTCGAATAACAGGGAATTTTACTGCGTTTAAGCAATGTAAGACTATCTTGCCTGCCTTGCGATGATTGCTTCGAAACGTCTCCGTCTGCTGATTACTATTGCCGCGAGTCTTGTGGTGCTGGCTGTGATCCGGAAAGGTGTGACAGTAATGCTATTTACCAGTTTCATTGATTTGTTGGATTTCTGAGAATTCGTAATCTTTCAACAGTTCTACATCCACTAAGATTTGTTCAGCTCTTCAACTATACGTTAACCAAATGTTTAGTTTCCTTTATAGTAGACATTTGGTATCTGGTTCGATCTTTCTCACTAGGCAAACCAAGGTTTCCGTGCATCGGAAAATTGCAACCACACGTATTTTGGAGGGTAACTGGCACGTCCTGAGTTTCGACTACTGTGCTGGCCAAAAAATTTTTATCAACTATTGAAAAAGCAGCACAAATCGTTATATATGTGAAGAGTGATCTCTTACAATGTTGTAGACACAAAAGTCATCGTGATGAAACAGAATCCGGTCAAATCCATGCGGACTGGCTTCCGGATAGGGCAAAGTTTTTGCTGAGTAATTCTTATGTTGCTGTTAATGAAGAGGTTGCTTATCAAATTTTTTCTTTGTATCACCATCACCGAGGTGTATATTTCGGTTAATTCAGTGCCTATCAGATAAAGGAGTGAGCAATGATGGAGTATTTCTTTGTAAAGGTTGCCATACGGAGCTTGGAACAGTTGTTAAAAGTGAGTCTTCTTAATTCACGATTTTATTGGGAATATGACCAATTCTTCCAGTGTTTATGAATGCGCTCATCAGTGGTCCCGAATGAATTATGTCGTAGTAGGCTGAGCGATAACGAAGTTTATTCTTGGGTGGTTTTTAGGAAGTACAAATACTTTTAGATTGCCGAGAGATTGTTCTACTTCATCATTCAGTTTGCACGCTTACTGTGAATGCTAAATCGTTCCTGAAGACAAGGTTAGCTGTAGAAAACATGAATGCATCATTTGCTGTCCTGTACCATCATTTTATTTATCAAATTCTTGCAGATTTTCCGATATGTCGATTTTCTTCGCACAACTGGTCCTTTCCTCATGTGAAGCACAGTCCAGCTTGAAGCTTGTTGTGCGGTCACTAAATAAGACACCCCACCTATTGGTAACTTCTTAAAGTATAGATTAGTTTACAGACTTCATACACTGTAATACAGCGAACCTGGATGTTGATTGCAGATGAGATGTTTGGTCTATTTTTACTCTTCATGTTGTGTCCATTTCCAACATATTTAGATTTGGCTGTTGGATTCCTATATTGTTGCCGCTATGGGAGAGCTTCGGGACGAAGAAAATGAAGGTCCACAACGTAACCTCGTATTCGTTATGAGTGTCCGTTAATACAGGGTCATACTGAGTTTTTCCAGATGAAATCCGTCCATTTCCTGCGGTAAAAATGCTATATAAAGTTTTTGATGCTCAAAGTGCTGCAAGGTGGGTTCCAGGACATTGCCTGTTTGTATTTGGGTAGTGTGACGTATAGACCAGTCGAATTATTAACTTTGCGAATTGGTGTGAATGCAAAAAAGGAAACATGTCAAATGACCGAGTAGTGACTGCAGTTGTATAGAATTCCGATGCCCACAAACTGATTTTTGGCAACGGTTTCAGAAAATTCGCTATTCTTTCAAACCGACGTAAGATAAAGTTCGTTTAGTGACCCACGTGCGAACGGCGAAGATTCCAGTGTGGGACTGGTTAACGTGCCATTTGGATGCTGTATACAACTAATCGAACATTTACTACTAAGTAGTCATTCACTGCCGGTTCCATGCAGATCTGTTGGACAGTTCTACGTTGGTTTCTTGAAGATGGCTGAATTCGTGTAGGAATTAGGAGACGATTGTTGCTTATGAAACACATATTTCATACCTTGTTGATTCAATTATGTCAGTTTCAATCTGGACCCCAATATTTGTTCTATCCGGATCTATCCTAGTAGTTGATGTCCACATTGGTGTTATTCCTGGAATATGTTGCAATCCATTGTGCATTATAAGTTCTTCACGGTGACTGTACTACTTCTTTTATTACTTGATACTTCATACTGAGCGGCCCGTCATCACTAGTTGTGCGGCTCCCAGCATAATCACCACTTTTCGGAGATTTGCTGGTTAAGCCATTGTGGTTCCCTGGAATCCCGAGGACAGCCTGGCCAAGGTCTGCTCCAGGTCGTCACCACGACAGGCAGTCACAGCCCTTGTGGATCAGAGGGAGATTTACCACCATGCGACTTTGATACCAAGACGGTGGTAGATCCTTGTATTGGTTTACTCTTAGCTAGGCTTCCTGATGGAAACGCCGGACTCCTCAGCTCAGGAGAGCTTGCCAGAGGGACGAATCCCCCCGCTGTACATCGCAGTCCTACACCTAGGAACACTTCCCACGATGAGGCGGTATATCGTTGGGAGGACTTCTTTTATTATTTCTTATTTTCATATGCGTTACATTGTATTTTACCTTCACTTCTCAAGTCTTCTTTGTATTTGTATGGACTGGTTCTATTCCTCTAATGGTTCATTATGGCATAAGTAGATATATCAACTAGACTCCCCATCTTTCAAACGATGTGATTGTGGGTATAAAGAATAGAAAGAGAAAACAACTGTTTTTGTCATTAAAGTCGAATGCGATAGATGTTGTCGGAAGTACGTACCACAACCAGAATATGTACAGGCAAAGTTCTATTCTCGACTTTATTTACTTTCTATTTATTACATGGCCTGTCATCACATTTACTGTGCGGATCCCAACACTTCTCACGTTCGATTCGTTTCCTCGCATCGAACATCCACAACGGTCTTCGGACATTCCATGTGTTCTTGCTGCTGTTTGAAGATTTCGTCTTTTTTATGAATGTCGTAGAATAGTGGTCAAATCAATTCTCCTTGCGGTCTTGAAGATAGCCGGACTAAGACGTTCGCATGTGGACTGGAGGAGGGTATTGGGGCAGGGATCGAACTAGCGCCTTTGTTTCGTGGTCGATGGCATCACTGAGCGCTGCGCTATCCGCGCCCCTTTTCTATTCAACTTTCTCCTATTCTCCAGTACATTTGAAACCCTAAGGGAAAGAGTATAAAGTTTAAGGATTCTTCCTACTTGAAGATGCGAGAGCGAATTCATTGCCCATTGTGGGGGCGGTCGTGAGCCACAAATATGCCAATGAGCCGCTTGCGCAGATGTCGACCCTGGCTTTTAAGCGCCTCTGTTGCTTCATGCTATTTTTCCATTTCGACTTCACTTCTGGGATGGTTACTATTCTAATGGGAAGGTTTGAGTTTCTGTCAGCAACTGTATAGAAATCATTATGTGTTATCTGGTACTTTCCTAGTTGGATAGCAGCACTAGCTCGATACATCGGTAGGCCACCGCGAGTCATTGTAGAGGCCAGATACGCATTCATTCACCGCAAAACGATGCTTAATAAGGTCGAATGCATGGCGCATCCCTCAGAGATTGATCAACACCGAGAGCTTCATCATTTTTTATCCTAGTTGGATAACTAGCCGATTTCCACGAGTATTGCGAGTCGAAGCATGTTTTTCACTCGTTCCCTTACGTTTACTGTCCACCTGTGCTCTGTTTCGAGAACGGTAACATTGTTACTAAACCATCTTCCAGCTAACGGCCTCAATGGGTAATCAATATGTTTGAGTTGATCAATAATTTTTTACAATCAGAATACTTACTTGGAACGTGGACATCGATTGGGTGAAGGAATGCGTATCTGGCCAATACAATGGTTTGCGATGGCCTATCGATGTATCTGATCGATTTTTCCATCCTCCCAAACAAATCTGATGCCAGTTAATCGATCCCTGAAGTGATGAAAGGCTTGGTGATTCCTGAGCACGCGACCAAACCAGCATCCGATCAGGTGTGTATTGTAGCTCACGTCTAAACATTGCGCTACACGAGCAGATTACCGATTGAGCTTCTCGAAAAGGTGGCATTATCATTAATGGAATGAAGGTTAGGTAAGTTTTCATCAATATATCCTCTATATTGTTGAGATATTTGCAGAACTCCGGACCGCAGGTGTCTGCGGTGTGGAACGAATGTGCTATTATCCTTTCCTGGAAGTAACGCGTTAACCTCCACACCATGCTGGTCCTTCGTTTCGCCTGTCTCTCAGCTAGTTCTATCGATCAGTGCCATCAGCAATCACCCGTAATGTATCCTCCGTTTCCGTAGTAATCGGTCCAATTCATTATTCATTACAATGCGAGTTGAACAGCAGCAATTCCTGTAGTGAGTCTGCTTACTCTACTAGTTGAGTTTCATCTAAACGTTTGCTATGCCCTTGGTATACACTCGTTTCGTCGATTTTCTACATGTCATTGCCTACAGTTGGAAGATATGCCTTTGTTTGGTTATCCTATGACTGCTGATTATGATTGATTATTATTTGACAGAGTAAACTCTGCTATTAATATGGAAGTGGCATCATGAAAAGATTCCGTAACAAGGGCTCGTACATTTGGAACGGATATCGTTAAGGGTACGGTGAAATTGCTGCTCGATCTGGTCGTTTCTCACTGAGTGATTGTGTCGTCGCTTGTAGTCATACATTTAATTTGTAGACTACTGAAGTTGCCTTGTGGTTAGCCGAGTTGATTTCCTTCATGGAATCCAATAGACAGATCGCGGACTCTTCGTATCATTGCAGTTCTTCTTCTAAGGACTTTTCTGAAGCTGTGAATCGAAGCTTTGTCACCTTGCTTTTGCTACCTGCTGTTTTTTTTATCACGACAGAGGTGATCTCTGACATATGTTTAGCCTCAATATGAGTTTGGTTCCCAATTTGATAAATACTGGGGTTTTTACCGGTTTCGTTCATGTCTGTTATGGCAAACTTCTATGGACACTCTTCTAGCTAATCCATGCATTGTTTAAAGTTGCTGTCTAACTAATCATTCAAGGTTATTCGAATTCGTTATCATATCAGCTCTCTTGACTTTCTATTCGTACAGTACAGTGTGATCAACGTTTCGTTCTACTGATCGGGTTTGTTTCAGGTCCTATAAGATGTCTATTTTCTCATTAATAAGATTTACTGCGCCCTCCAGCAGTGAGTTATATGTTTACGGTTAAATGCAGTTCTATGTTAGTTTTATCAAGTTCTACTTAACGAAATCTCTTACAGAAACATTTTTGAAGAGCTTCAAGGAGAATCCCATAGGAGCCGTTGTCTCGAGGTCAGAACAAGTTCGTAATTTGGCAGTTCCAGGTGGAAAGGAAGTTTTTAAGGTGAGAGTTTTCTACAATTAAAGTAAATTACAATTTATCTTGATTTATTTAAAGGCACAACATACAATGTTTCTAAGTAACTACCTGAAGATCGCATAACCATTACCATTACCGAACTGGAGAGATAGCCTGGTGGACCGGCGAAGTGACCTTCTTGTGGCTGTTTTAGAAGCTAAACTTTTTAGAACTATTCCCATCAAGCCTTTATGAAACACCATTTGCGTCAACAGAGGGGGCCTTCGTTCAACCTAAAGCTTTTATCCTTCCATTTAAGTTAAATGAAGCAACGCAACAGGAAATCGTTGTCAATTCTTCTTTCCGCATAGAGTTATTGAAGCTGGCAGGGGATAATGCATTAAGTATCAGTAAATAGTAATAATTAACAATAATAATGGCGGCTGTTTACTTACTTGTATACTTAGGTGGCCCATCTTCACTGGCTGTACAGACCCCGGCATAATTTCCACTTTTTCGGACATTTGATAGTTTAAACATTGTGGTTCTCTGGAATCCCGAGGGCAGCCTGGCCAAGGTCTGCTTCAGATCGTCACCACCACACGCAGTCACCGCCCTCGTGGACCAGACGAAGATTTGCCACCATGCGACTAGTTTGTTACCAAGACGGTGGTGGATCCTGGCATTGGTTTATTCTTAGATAGGTTTGCTGATAGCAGTTATTAATAATACTTAATAACAGTGGCACGGATTATAATAGAAAGGCAAGTTTAAGGCGAGATCAGTTTGATAACTTTGCGATACGTCATCAGTATGGTTTGTTGTACTGAGCAAAAAGCATGGTGAGGCGATAAACTCATATTGTCAGATTTTTAGAAATTTTATAAGTTGAGAATAAAGTAGGTAAATGGATTTAAGCTATGCGTTTTTTAGCGTAACAAGCCTCATCTTAATGTAGGAACTATTGGCCATGTTGATCACGGTAAAACCACTCTGACTTCGGCTATCACTAAAGGTACGATCAAATGGTGTATTTATTACAGATACAGTTGAATTTTCTAAATTAAAGCCTCATTTTAATCCTTTTGCTTTCCCCTTAGTTTATTTCTTTATTTATTGTCATCAGTTCATTTCATTCTCATCATTGGATGTACATTTATAATGAAATTAAGTAGTGGGATCTACACTGTGCTATTTCTTCGAGTCAGTTTCGAATTCATCGTATTACTTTAAAATTTCTGTAAAAATATGCATATTTCAATATGTTCCACTTTTTTTATAAGAGAAGTACATTTCCGGTAAATGCAGTTCTCTTCCTTCTACTTCCCCACTTTCGCTTTCTCTTACTTTTGCTTCCTCAACGAGCTTCAGTTCTTACAATTTTAACTAGAATTTTATTGCCCATCATCGTGATCATGGTATTTTAGTACTGTCCTTATCGAAAGGTGCAAAGTATAGGAAATATGAGGAAATCGACAATGCACCAGAAGAGAAAGCTAGAGGTATGGTAGCATGAGAGCTCAATTTCTCTAATTTCATCATCTATTTTGTTTCTAATTTTGCTCTTAAGTTTTATTTCTGCCATCGTTTTGACATCCATTTTTTCTAGTACTGTGGATGTATAAGATATATTATAATACTAGTTTCATCTCATAAGTATATCATCCGTTTAATAACAATATTTAGTGTATTATCATGGTAAACAAAGTGATCTCCGAAGTTGTATTATGTTAATAACTTCACTGTGGGCTTGGAAGGAAGTGATGAATCCATGTTTTCTTAAACTCATCTTGAGGGACTTTAAACCACTTGTTAATCTTGTAAAGTTTTTACCTGATAGTAGCATAATAAACGATGTATTATTTCTCGCTTTTAGGCATTACAATAAATGCTTTTCATCTTGAGTATGAGACCGCCAAGCGCCACTATGCGCACATTGACTGTCCCGGTCATGCCGACTACATCAAGAACATGATCACCGGAGCAGCACAAATGGAAGGGGCCATTCTTGTTGTGGCTGCCACGGATGGAGCCATGCCGCAGGTTAGTATTCTTTTAGTGTACTTCAAAGCTGTAAGCACTTAGATACGTAAATAACTGATCCTCAATGTCATGTGGCTCCCATCGTGCATTTTCGTTGGCTCTCAGCCGTAATCTATTGACGTAGTCGAATCTGTTTTAATTCGGCTGCCGATTAAGGATCTGTTGTCTTCCACCTTCATTGACGTTTCAACTCTTTCTCGAGAGCGATTTCCTGGAGTAGGCCGTGCTAGGGGGTTTTCAGTTGGTTACTTTAGGCAGTTGTCAGCCTGTGTAGATAGAATAGAAGTGTTCTGCCTTGCAACCCGGACTTTTGCTGGTAGCGCTCCATATTGCGGCACGATTACGATTCTCTATCGACAAATCTTAAGCGATGTAACATATCCAGTATAAACACAACGCCACATTTAGTGTCTTTTCTCGTTGATAGGTCAACACATGATGGTTATAAAACTTTTATTCGACTTCTTTGCCTTTTTTTGCCACAATTATTCGAGTAAGTTCTCCACAGCCGTTAGTTGTTGCGATATGGGTCTTCATAGTCGCATAGAATGAGGACGGGGCACTACAGGAGTGAGCACTGCGCGAATGAAATAATCGCACTTGGTAGCGTCATTAAATGTAGTGAAAATTGTACCATTTACAGCGGCGGATAACATTATTAGCGATGCCCATCATCATGAATACGGTGCCGGTTCGGTCCTGCTCCGTGCTCACAAGTCGCCTATCTCCCCGGGTTCGAGAAATTGGTACCTGGCTTGTCCGAGAAAAAACCACTCCCTGCAATCCAAGTGGAACGCTCTAGCCGAGTTATCTCAGGACTCTAGGGAGAATGGACTGTATAAGCATCCAACGGCATTCAAAATGAAAGGAAACATGGGTGATGAATTCGAGGAAAGGAGTCGAATGTGAGAAGTGCTTGGATCCACTCAGTAGACGTGAAGGCGGGTCGTATAAAATAGAATAAAAATAAAAGTAATATCGTTAACCCACTTCCTAACGGTTTACCGCTTCATCGTGGCTGGGAGGGATTTCTGGTTTTCGGGCTGCGATCTACAGCGGGGGATTCATCCGTCCAGCAGGGTCTCCTAAGCTGATAAGGAGTCAGGCGTTTCCATCAGGAGCCCAGCTATGAGTAAACCAATATCATGATCCACCACCGTCCTGGTATCAAATTAGTCGCATGGTGGCAAATCTTCCTCTGACCCACAAGGGCGGCGATTGCGCGTGGTGATGACGAGCTAGAGTAGACTTTGACTAGGCTAACCTCGGGACTTGAGGGAACTACAATGGCTGAACCAGCAATACTCCGATATATTGGAAATTATGCTGGGACCCGCACGACCAATTAAAACGGGCCATCCAAGTATCATTGACCCAACTTAAATTTAGAGTTCTAGCGAGACTATACTGATATTATCGCCTTATGTGTTTCTAAGGTGAATAGTTAAATAGGACATATATTGTCTTTTATAACACGTCTATGTTAATAGATATGTAAATGGATTTATGAAAATCTCTAGATGCTATTCTATTAGCAATCTAATATCTGTTCCTAGACTCGGGAACACCTTCTACTTGCACGTCAGGTCGGAATACCCCGTGAAAACATAGCTATCTATTTGAATAAGGTAACATTCGCATGCAATTTGTGTCACATCTTTCCCAATTACTCTCAGTTGTCTATTCAGATTGATGAAATTCCGGATCAAGAAACTCGTGAACTAGTTGAGATGGAGATACGTGAGCTGTTGAACGAATTCGGATACCAAGGCGATACCTTACCTGTTAGTATTTTGTCTATAAATTCTTCATGTACATTGCATATAATTTACGAATTGCATTGATAGGCCAGTTTAGAAAATGGGATTCTAGGCGAGATTTTTCTTGAAGTTTAACTTCTGATTCTGTTCTGATTTCTAATTTATTCAGACTGATTTAGGTTATATTTGGATCTGCTTTATGTGCTCTTGAAGGGAAAAAGCCTGAAATTGGAGAGGAATCTGTAAAACAATTGCTAGACGTTCTCGATGAAAAGTTCATCATCCCTGAAAGAAACGTAAACACGGAGGCAATGTTCGCTGCTGAACATGTATATTCTATCCAAGGTATATTTTTTTCTATAAAAAAGTGGTCGTGAACATATAGATTTTCCAACTGTTTTAAATTTTCAAACAACTTATATTTTCCAAACAGAACTATATCAGTTTTCAAAAATTTAATTTAAAAGTTTCAGTCTTACACTTCAGTATCGCATTTGGATCGATATGAATTGTTTTTTTTTTCCTTCACAATTTTTCTTATACAGGACGAGGAACGGTTATCACTGGAAAACTGGAAAGGGGTACACTGAAACGTGGTGACAAGGTAGAAATTGTTGGATGCGACCGTGAAAACGTGAAATCCGTCATTTCGGGTACGATTCTTATTTTTTGTCTAATACAGTAGAAACACGTTAACAAGTATGATGTGTAGGTCTCGAATCATTCCGTAAGACGATAGAGCAAGCGGAACCTGGTGATCAGTTGGGTGTTTTATTACGTGGTCTTGGTCCAAAAGATGTTCGACGAGGTTGTGTTCTTCTACCTCAGGGCCATAAACACAAAGTCACAGATAAAGTTAAAGCACAGGTGAAACACATACTTAGACTTAGTCTGAATACATATCAAGCTCTGATGTGGATGTTTAGCTGTACGTTCTCAAACCAACAGAGGGTGGATCGAAGGTTCCTATCGCAAACTATTTCACAGAACACATCTTTTCTCTTACATGGGACGCCTCAGCCTTGCTTAAGATTGTTGGCAAAGACTTCATAATGCCTGGAGAGGCATCAGAGTGAATTTCTACCCCATTTCTACCCTTTTTCAATAATAAATTTATGATCTAACAGCCATTCATTTAGAGTTGAGGTGAATTTGAACCAAAAAATGTTCATTGAACCGCAGCAAAGATTCACTGTTCGGAAGGGCACGAAAACTGTTGGAACGGGTGTATTCACGGAAACTCTTCCTCCGCAGTCAGAAGAAGAAAAGGTACTTTTTAAATGCTTGGAATACTAAGCAGTTATAATCTTATAAAAAAATTTTTTCTCAGACTACCAAGCACAGAAAGAAGCTGATGAAAGCTGAAATGGAACGTTTGGGTTTCAACCCTTACGGCCAAATATTTGAGAAGCGATTGAAACCGGATTATTCAAATTCACCGAAAGATAACCCAGCTGCCAAAGCTTTCGAGGGTATTGAACAGCAGGAGGGTTAGTGATCGAAACTCACTGGTCATAGTTGTTATGCTTGTATTGTTATTCTGTTCTACATTCAGCTGTATAAATTGTCTTTGATTTTATTTTGATGTGATATTTCTATCAAATAGGATTGCATAGGAAAAAGCACAACGATTACGAAGGTTCCCTTTTGGTACTTGTAATTAAAATATTTCACTCTATATCGCGAACCCGAAAGGAGCACTACTATCATCTCAGTGCAAATATTCTACACTATCTTATATATCATGATGGTCATATGCCACATCTTTATTACTTCAACGATGTTAAGGAACACGATTGTAGAGCTTTTAGTCACCTCGAAATCTATGTCCGTGCTGTTCCTGTGACCCATTTGGGTCGACTTTTGGAAGCACTTTGCAGCCATGTTGAGTCTGAGAGAAAGGTTACCTGCATGGTAGAGTGGTGAACGCGTTAGCCCCCGGAAAATGTAACGAGTTCAATCCCCTCTGCAAACACCTGCGGTCTGGAGTTCTGCAAGTGTCAAAGTACCATTGTGGTATATGTTGGATAATATTTAGTCATTATGGAAGCAAATAAAACGAAGAAAATCTGCTAAGGCCTCCACTTCGAATACCTGTAAGGATCAGGTAGCTTACTGGCAGATGCGGACGGACCAACCTACCCGAGGGCTGGTTCCACACTGCTCCGGCCTTTCGAACTTTCTATCCCTCCAAGGTCGGAAAATTGCTACCGGATTATCTGGATCACATTCTAATTCACGTAGAACACTCTAGCACGACCATCAGGGATCCATGGAGAGTCGACTCGACCAACATTCAGCAGTATTTATGACGAAAACGAGAAATTCCTTAAGCAACACTTCGAACGTTAGATGTGAAAAAAGGAATCAAATAAGACATGTGCTGAGATCAGTGCAGTGCGGTGCTTGTGATGTAGGGTAATATAATAAAACAGCAATAGAAATGTTAAACACACCCATTACTAAAAAGGTGACTTAAACGAGTAGCAGTCTCATGTCATTAGTGCTTAAATTACTAGCTGAGCCCTGTTGGCTTGAAGAACACAAGCAGCATCATACTTCTCATGTGTTATGCTTGATGTTTTTCGTGGAAAGATACATTTGGCAAATTTAACAAGCTCTATGAGTGGGGCTAGGTACCCGCGAATCTTCGAGCCTTCTTGCTGTAAACGTGAGGATTCCTTATTGGAAATGACGCTGAACAACCTCCAATATGTATCTACTAGCAATTCGACTGCGGCGATGAATAAGCGACGTGAATACGAGAGATGTCAATAAAACCAGTGAGTCACGGATGCAAAGTTCATCTTCCGAATTCATCTGCACCTGAAGTCGTTGGTCCGATCTCCCTTCCGGAAAAAACAAAACCCGTTACTGTGAAGCTGATAAATGAGTAGCAAACTTGTCCGGAAATATAAAACATTACATCATACTGATAGGCCCGGTTAACACTTAGCTACCTCTAGAATGCCAAATAGAGTCGAAGGTATAGTGCATCCTTCAGGGATTGATCAACGGCTAACGCTCTACGTTTCCAGGTATCGAACAAACTGAGCCACACTGCTCTATCAGCTTCCAGTAGAGGAAGAGCTGAGATGCTCAGCACTACTATCTCTTGGGAGAACCGAGGCGGTGGGCACTTATCACCATCAGCATTGAACCACGACGCCCGAAGAGTTTAACCATCTCTTGGAGCGAAAAGCACAGACCCACTAGCTTTCACCTAAAGTGAGGACCACGGCGCCCACCATCTCTACCTTCGCCCGGAAGAGAGCGGCCGCGTCGTCCAACACCATCAGTCTTCCAGAAGCACGGCGCCCAGCATTGCTAACCTTGCCCGGAAGAGCGCGGCCGTGGCGTCCAGCACCGTCACCAATGCGACCACGGCGTCCAACGCCATCATTTTCCATAGAAATCGAGAATCACGATTCCCAGCACTGCTGTCTTGTCCGGAAGAGAGCGGCAGTTGCGTCCAGCACTATCACGACTCACTGTCTTTAGCGGAATGGCACCCATCGGTTGCTTACCTTGGGACTAGTGACGCCTATGTGCAGTATGCCGAAATCTCCATCAAGTATAGCTGTGAATTATATTATGAGAATAATCTCCAACCACCTTCCATGTACGTGTCAGCCATGTCAATACAGGATTTCCACTCAGTCGATATAGAGTGTTTGTATTGATGGTAGAGGTGCCCCGCACTACGCACATGGTCTTTGGCACGACCCCGCACCCAAATCGCAATCACCAACACCGCAATCACCCAATCACCCCAATCGCACGCCGTTCACTCTACAGAGTTCCAGCTACTTCTCATGAAGAGTACAAGTGAGCTTCTGCTAGCGTGAAACCGCTAGTCAATACTTAACTAGTAGTTGAGCTAACTGATTTAATTCTGGACAAACAGAAATATTTCAGATCTTTACTTCATTTTGTGCATAAGATCCCATAATTTGCTTTGTGAGATTATACTTACTTACTTCCTTGATACTTGAATGGCTCGTTCTCACTGATTGTGCGGGCCTCAGCAATATCCACTTTTCGGAGATTTGCTGGTAAAGCCATTGTGGTTCTTTGGAATACCGGGGTTAGCCTGGACAAAGTCTGCCCCAGGTCTTCACCACCAGGCAGTCGCAGCCCTTGTGGATCAGAGGGAGATTTGCCAACATGCGACTTTGATACCAGGCCGGTGGCGAATCCTGGTATTGGCTTACTCCTAGCTAGACTTCTTGATGGAAACGTCGGACTCCTTCTCAGCTTGGAAGACGCTGCCAGGGGATGAATCCCCCGCTGCGCATCGCAATCGGACACCCAGGAACACCTCCCAGCCACGATGAGGCGGTAAACTGTTGGGAGGTTTGTAAGGTTATAGTAAAAATAATTACCTGCTATCAAAACAAATCCTTTGCTTGCAAAATTTTTGTTGCGTTGACATTAACTGCAATGAACAAAATTGTGCCGTCTTCTTTTCGTTTCAGATACTGAGGGAAAACACTTCCACCGAGAGAAATAACCATTTGAGAAACGATCGGTAGGTGTCTCTTTCGTCATGATCAATGAGCAATGAGCTCAATGTACCACACCGTACGGACACTAGAGTGTGCATAGCATCATAACGACTTGAAGGATTTGTGGAAGAGCTCAGACGTAATGTATGAAACTACCATCGCGCAGTCTCTGAGCAACAAATGAAAACAGTTGTACTCTAATGAACCCTCAAAGGTCATTTCCTGATGAGTCCATGTTGTCAGTGATGCTAGTGGTTAACTATTTCAAGCAAAGAAGCCTACGTATGTGATGATCTGTTCTTGACTGCAGAATTAATATATGAGATTAGACATCCCAGAAAAGATTTTCCGTATAAAATTTTAGTATAAAGTGGACTTGACGTAAGCAATGTAACGCGGCAGGACATGAAGTGGAGAGATAGCGATTGGTCCTAGCCCGATTATTTTACACGGTGCTTGACGGAGCACGTGTGTGGTTCGCGCCGGTCAATAAGCGGCTGGGGACAGCTGTTGGACGGACGGGTTGTCGTGTGTTGGTAGTCGGCCTGGATTGCCGCACGTTCCGGAATAACGTCGGTGAACTATTCCATCGTAATCGAGTCTGTTTTTTAATGCACTTCTGTTAACGTTTTTCACCGCGAACAATCTCGTAGTCGTGTGTTTCTTCAATTTCCTCGTCCGACGTCCTGATGAAATGTTTCGACCGTTTTCTCGGTTAATTTAGTTCTTCATGTCACTATAGTGAAGAATTCACTATGATCTTTAATGTTGTTTTCTCAGGAGTTTGGAAGTTTAGTGTGTCAAAGAACTTATATTTCGTAACTTTAACATTAAAGTCGTACTCTCATCTGTCGCTTTTTGACTGGTGGATTTGGGGATGGTACGGCCGGATTCTTCTTTCCAGTGAACGAATATCGTAGACATTAACGTCAGCTTCCAAAATTGGCGAGAGAAGAAAAAAAGTGGCTCGGCATAAGAAGGGATTTTACCATATTTAGGTTAAGGGGTTACTTTCAATGACGTCTGGTAAGCTTTTACGTCAGAACAATGGGTAGGCTAAGTGCTGGGTGTTTTTTAGGTTACGAAATTTAAGAGTCTACGACAACATTGCGAAGTGAAAGTGCTTGACAAATATTCCAGTACTACGACTACTTGCATGTTGTACCGTTTGACATTTTCACGTACTCCTTCTGTAGATTTTCACTTTCTCCTTTTTTTTAGAGCTGGAAGCCTTTCTTTTTATTCGTCTTGAAATTTTGATAAGTGGTGATATGGAGGAGAGAACGTTTCAGTAGTAGGCAGTGGGTTCAGTAAAGTTCTGCTGATATGAGGATAAAAAGTCTGTCTAATGGAACCATGTAGTGATTTTACTTTGTCAATGGTTCACTTGGTTTCAAGTAGATCCTGGCACCACCTCATTCATTTTGTCGTAAGGTGAAACTGGTTTCTCGTTCATGCTGTTCTAGCTTAAGCTTAAGTTAAGCGTTAAGCGAATCTTGTTTACAACTTTAAAAACTTCAGAGCATTTGTATGAGTGTTTTAGTATGTGAACTAGTAGCATCACTTTCAATATGCAAGAGACGTAGTGAGTGCATGGGAGGAGCAGAAGCCTAGAGAGCCGACGCCCTCCCTCCTATTGACGAGTGGGCCGATTTGGAGCCGTAGGGTCATCGTCAGTAGAGGGCACTTCCGTGCGCATTTCCGCTCATACTAGTTTATTTTGAGTGCTGTCTTTTAAGAAAAACTCTTTAAAAGTATAAAGCAAGGGATGCTTCATGCATTCAACTGCATTCAGCATTGTTAGAGGTGATTGAATGCATGTCTGGGCTTTACAATGAGTCTCAGTGGCCTACGGATGTGTCGAGTTAGTGCTGCTATTCTCCTAGACAGGTCTGGTACCAATTTGCCTACCTCGGAGGGATGGAGGGCTTGGTGGGCCAGGGGCGCAGGATTCGATCCTAAATGTATACAGCAGGGCGCCTCCGACCACTGCGCCATACGTGCCTTTTCTGTTTTAATAATCCGTCGAAATTGTTTTTCATACTTGTATGCAACTCTGTACTGCTTACTTTCTATACTTTCCTACTAACTAGTACTTCTAGATTTAAGTTTTATTTACAGGAAATCTAGATTGTTGATTGTTTGGAGATTCAAAAGAAATAAGTGGGGCCATTGAATCTGACCCATTCAATTTTACATCGCTGATGTAAATCAGTCAACCATTTTCGATCGTTCTCACTCTATATATACGCATATAACTTTGTGCGACCTTTTCACCTCTCCAAAACCTTCAGTTTAGTGGACCACTTGGGACTTAGGGTTTTTCTAGAAATTACTGTGGTCCCATACTAGACGTAAGATAGATTCCTTTGGTAGCATTTATGGACCGACAGTTATGGGTCTAAACTATCAACTTGAAACGTCGGTTATGAGTTTTTCCCTCACTCGGCTTCCTCCCGTAAACCGGTTAAGTCATCCAATTCGTTTGGCAATGTGTCCGTAAAGATTAATGCTTTTTCGTAGTTGTCCACTTCCTGCTCCACCAAGGAATTATGAGCTCAAGTGTCCACATTTTCAAAACATGGGGGAGATGGTGGCACTTAAGTGCTGTTAATAAAGTCATTTTACCTTTATCAAGAAAAAAGTAGGTGAATGGAGCTTTTAAGTTGTCTGATTGCTGTTTGTTGTAGATTTTCACTGTTGTTAAGGCTTGTTACTCTTCTTTCATATCTGAGCGTTTTTCTGTATCGACAGTTTTTCCGGCTTTTTGTCATCGTAGATTTAAAAACAGAAAAGAGGGTTGTTTTAGGTTCTTTCCATCACTTTTGGGGAGAAACACATAACAGTTTAATTTATTTCATGTTAGTTTTGCTACTTATAGTACATACTTACTTGGATACTTAGATAGCCCGTCTCCACTGGTTGTGCGGACCCCAGCGCAGTTTCCAATTTTTTCGGAATTTTGCTGATTTAGCAATTGTGATTCCTTGGAGTCCCGAGGTCAGTTTGACCAAAATGTGCTCCAAGTCGTCACCGCCACAAGCAGTCGCTGTCCATGTGCAGCATAGAGGATTTGCCACCATGCAGCTAGTTTGATATCAGGATGGTGGTGTAGTAGTATTGATATGGTTTACTCTTAGCTGGGCTTTCTTAGAGAAACACTGGACTCCTCAGTTTGGGAGGCCCTGCTGGAGAGACGAACCCCACCGCTGTACATCGCAGCCCGACACCCTGGAATACCTCCCAGCCACAGGAGGCGCTAAACCATTGAGAGGAATAGTATAGAGTAGCTGTCAAAATTGAAAGGTGGTTTTGAGATCTTGTTGATTTCTACTTTTCTATTTATTCAACAAATTGTTCACATCGTTCTGTTACTGCTGTAAATATGATTTGCTGTGCATTACGTATTCTCGTACATTACGTGAGAATTAGTTTATTCTTTTCTCAGGCGCTGTTCGTTTTTAGGTTGATGTCGTAAATGCCTATTTTCACGCATAATGACGGAAAAATTTGATGGCTTTGAGTACAGTACGAAAGATGTGATTGGTCATGGAGCGTTTGCAATCGTATACAAAGGACGGTACTCAGATGTAAGTTGAACTAATATGAAACTGGTGTGGTTCTACGATTTCGTACTTGTTCCTTCTGTGGCTGGTAAATGGGTGCAATTCTGGTTTCCCTGGGCTAGACAGTGTTTCGCTCCAAGAACTTCGTAAAATTTGTAGAGAATACTTTACAGTTGCATTTACATCACTGTCAGGAGTTATACCTGAATATTTGTTCCATCTTTTAGCCACATAGTTCCTACCAGAAACGCCTTTGATTCCAACGATTCTTCTCGAAAGTGTGTTCCTTAACAAATTCGCGAGTACACATTTATTTCAACGCACGTGCAGAAAAAATACGTTATAATTAAGCCCAAAAAACGTTTTTTAGAACTTTACTTTCGGTGCTAGTGTGGCGCCGTCGTTAGAGTTATTTTGCAAGGCCATTCGTAGACTCAACCCTGTGCCTGTTCCACCAGGCGTTTTATCCATTTGGGGTAGCAGAGATTGGTACCAAAGTTAGCTGTGAGTGTAAAAACACTAGCTTGTTTGGGAGAACAAAAGCACAAAGTTTGGAATGTTGGCAGACCTCAAGAGGTATGCCACCGCAAGTCAGTATATGAGCCAGATATGCATTCAATCTCCTGTTGCGATGCTTGATGATGTCCAATACATGGTGCGTACTTCCGAGTTGATCGAAACTGAATGTTTTATCTTTTTATTCTTTTATCACTTTCGTCGAAATCCGTGTTTGGAACAGCGAAGCAATCAAACCAGTATGTTCTCCTAGAAGACCGTTTCGTTGTCAACGAATGTGCTTGCCGTTAATGTTTAAATTAATTAAGAATGAGTCCGATACTTTATGAAAACAATTGGACGAGCTTTCTTTTATAAGCCTCTCAAGTTCTCAGATCCATAAATGATCTAGTTATTGTACGGTCGCAAATGGTTGCCGGAACAGCAACGGCATAGCTAGGTAGCAGTGTGTGGCTAAGCTTACAAGAGCTCAGAATTACACAATATGATACACAGTGAAACATGAGCCCACATGAGGAAAATTGTAACAATTTCTCAGGTTTCAGAAAATCAATGTGATAGTGTTTAATGCCAAAATAAAAATAAATTCTAATGGAAATTTCTTTTGCTTTGTTTTGTGTATGAGCTGTGTTCTTTACGTCGTAGTGATCTTCTGATTAGTATTTACTAGCCTTTCTTTTGAAATCCTGTTAAAGTAGATTTATTTGATAACTATTACAATTAGTAAAATAAAAGGACATGGAATGAGCCTGGGCATGGACTGGTTAATCTTAAGACACGCTCTCTTCTGTGAGTGATAGGTTTGACCTTTAAGTTATAGATCTTATGGCATAAATGTGTACATTTTCAGAAGCCTGATATTCCGGTAGCGATTAAAGCAATTGCAAAAAAAAATATAGCAAAATCCAAGAATTTGCTCACAAAGGAAATAAAAATATTAAAGGTGTGTTCTGTTCACTTTTTCCTTATCTCTGTATATATCTTTGCAAATGTACCGAAAACGTTATAAAATCTGTGTTGCTTTTTTAAAAAAGTTCTATTTCAGACTTTAAGTGGACTACAGCACAATAATCTAGTAGCGTTGCTTAAATGTACAGAAACAGCCACACATGTTTATTTGGTTATGGAATATTGTAATGGAGGTGACTTAGCTGATTATCTTAGTCAAAAAACCACACTGCAAGAGGACACTATTCATCATTTTGTGGTACAAATCGGTGAGCTACAGGGATTTTTGTTCGATTTTTTCTCAGGATAGTGCAGTTTCGATTTAGGCTCACACTACATAATGTTTATTTTGAAGGTTTTAATATCTCTACTATCTAGTATCTGTCTCCCAACAGTTTACCTCCTCATCGTGGCTGGGAGGTGTTCCTGGGTGTCGGGTTGCGATATACAGCGTGAAATTCATCCCTCCGGCAGGGCCTCCCAAATCTGCGGAGTCCGGGGTTTCCGTCAGTAAACCCAGTTAAGAGTAAGCCAATACCGGGATCCACCACCGTCCTGGTATCCAACTAGTCGCATAGTGGCAATCAGCTAATCCACAAAGGTGTCGACTGCATGTGGTGGTGACGACTGGAGCAGACTTTGGCCAGGCTGACCTCTAGACTCCAGAGAAATACAATGACTAAACCAGCAAAACTCCGACAAAGTGGAAATTAAGCTGAGGTCCGCAGAACCAGTGAAAACGGGCCATCCAAGTATGCAAGTGACTGAGATTTGTAGAGTTTTTAAAAATTTGCCGTCTAATATTATGCTTTGCAATAATTAATAAATTGGATGGACAAAGTAGATCTTCTAAAAAGGTTGAAATTATAACACCATAAAATTTCTGCAAGAGTGCAACACTCTTAATGTCAGAGGTTGTTTTACTCTACATTAGCCTTAGCGTATAAAGCATTTTTCAGCCCGTGCACTGGAAGCAATCAATAGGGAGGGAATTGTTCATCGTGATCTCAAACCGCAGAATATTTTATTGTGTAATCCCACTCGTCACTCGAATCCGCCAGCGACAGATTTAATTATTAAACTAGCCGATTTTGGTTTTGCAAGATTTCTTTCTGAAGGTGTTATGGCTGCAACTTTGTGCGGGTCTCCAATGTACATGGCTCCTGAGGTGAGCGGTAGCATGTTATGTTGGCTTCCAGATCTTCTATTTATTGTTTTCAGGTTATTATGTCTTTACAATATGATGCCAAAGCTGACTTATGGTCGATAGGGACAATACTTTTTCAGTGTTTAACCGGAAAAGCACCATTTCAAGTTTGTTCGGGGATTTCATCTATTTCTTTTGCTCTTATTTTCATCCTGAAATTTGAAAATCTTTGTGTGAAGGACACTAGGAAGTGCATAGCTTTTTTTTTACTTTTGTTCAAGTAATTTGGCTTTATTGTACAGGCGCAGAACCCTCCACAACTGAAGGCGTACTACGAGAAGAATCGTGACTTAAAGCCGAACATTCCCGATTACTGTTCTGCGTCGTTAAGAGATCTTCTTCTTCGTCTGTTGAAAAGGAACGCTAAAGATCGAATAACTTTCGGTGAGGAGAGAGTTTCAAAGCAGTTGTTCGTAATAGCAATTCTCATGTCATTTGATTGATTATCGTGTTGAGAGTTATTGATTGGCTTTAGACGAGTTCTTCAACCATCCGTTTCTTCATGATGCTCCAGCTGCAAGTCCATCAAAGCGGATACTTGACTCCGCTTCACCCATGGTTGTACGCCGTGTTGTTCCACCACCATCGTCATCAACTTCACCATTGCCAACACGTTCACGACTAGATAGCCCACAACCCTCCCGACGAACAGTGAAGGTTGCTTCTATATCTGTCAAAGTTTTTTTTATAGCCAAAGTGGTTAGGTCTCAAAGGTGTCTAAAATTTGGGCAATCACTGTTTACTGCATAGTCTGCCAATTTGTCATTGTTACCTGATCTTTTAAAATGTTTAACGCTAAGTTTGCTAAGAAATATCCTGATGGGCCCATAACGTTTCTTTTCATTTTGTTAGGCTCTAAAGACAACATCCGTTATTCCCAATTCGAATAATACATCACTCGAAAATAGGCGCGAATTTCATTTTTTCGTGATGTTTTAATCCCAGACAACAGTAATGTTCAACTGAGTGAGGCTATGAAAATGAAGGTAACTTAAGACCTAATGAAGCATCGCGTTATTCTGTAATATTCCATCACTAATTCTTCACTGACGTTCTCCAAACGTGGTTTATCAGCAGATATCCGAATCTCCAGCAGTACGTAGAGCTGCTCAAGCAATGCATGAAAGTAACGATTTTACATTCCTACCTCCTCTTTCTGGTCATCAACAACATGCGTCAAGTGGTCGGAACGAGAACAGTCCAGTGAAGCAGGTATCTCCATGCTTTTAAATATGATTTCTAATAAAACCACTTACGTAATAGAATTGAGTTCTCCTATGTGCATTAAATTTGCTACTCTAATCTACTCTTAAATTACTCACGGTTTACTTTGAAACAGTTTTTTTAGACTCGAAATTTTTTGAAAAATAATGACTTAATTGCAGATTCGAGAACTTTGTACGATTTGTTTTTGAAATTGAACTGTAAATTGTTGTTATAGGTCCAAGTGCACACATTTTCCTCACAAATGCCAACTGCGCCCGTGAAGGCAGTACCAGTACCCAGCCAACGGAATGCATTTACTAAAATTGAGGTAGTTCTTTTTGTTCAGTGGTAAAAATGATTACTCAATCAATATCTATGCATATCATATAGTTCTATTATCATATTGATTATTATGTTTTTATTATTGTATTAATATATTATTGAAATACATATCTCCTCTGTTTACTCGGATCATCGGCTCTGAAGAAGACGAAGTCGTCGAAACGTCATTCAAATCTCTTTGCCAACCTCGCATAAGCTCTACAATTTAAACGAATTCCTATATAAATTTAGGAACGGCGACATGGAAATAAAGATAGTGAAAATGAGGAAAATTCTTCAATTCCGTCGTCGTTAGTGCGAGGAAATTCCGTGCTGAAGCGGACCACTTCATGCCAAGGCGGTGAAACTGCATCCATTCCAACAGTGGAGAACATGACTTTGCCTCCAAGTTAGCGATTAGTCAATTACTGTCGATCCACCGAATTGCCAAGTTTTTTTGACAGCTATTTTCTCTGGACTCGAATATTTTGTGTAGAATCGTCTGGTTTTGAACTTTGGCATAGTGTAACTGTTTGGTGTTCTTGTTGTAAGATTAATGGCTTCCTGGTTTCCTCAAAAACTGGCGTTTAATGGAATCGATATCTTCCAAGCGTCGAGTAAAAAATGTTTGAACAACTAACTTTGACTTACAACAAGAGAATTTAAATTGTGGATTTTAGGCAATAAAGTAAACGCATTCTTTACATACGTTGTTAAGCACAATTCATTGTGAGAGGTGCGGCTCTGCGTCGATCCTTAGCAGAGCGAAATCGTCAACGGAAATCTGTCGAAGAATCTTCGCCGACTCCTGTTCTAGAGAAGCTTTCTGAAGCAGGTAGACTTCTATGTGGCTTTTGTTCATAAATTAGATTGAACTAAAAGTGCAGATTATATCATACACGGAGGTTTACTCAAATTATATGACGTAAATTCTAAACTGTTTATGTCATCGCTGTGATTACGATAGTAACTGGTTAGAGTATAGTTTTGGTCCTCATGCAGTTTTAATTCAGCAAAAAATTGGGCGGAATCTTAACTTCAATTCTATAGCTTTAAATTTTTTAGATCAGCTTGAATCCAAAGTTGGTGTTGGGACCGCAGAAGTGAATCCACAGCATGGGCGTGAAACGAAAGGCGTTCCGTCACTTGACAACGCTAAATTTCTGTCTGCGTCGCCACCAGTGGCTCGTATCGAACCGGCTGTACCGAGTCAACTGTGAGTGAGAGTATTTCTCTACCTCCATTTATTGATAGAGTAGTTTTTCAGTAATGAATTGTAATACTTGATTAATGGCACGGTAAATTCCAGTGAAATAAGTGATGATGACGACGATACAATGCATCGTTCACTCAAATTACCATTTGGAAGCGCAGGGCGTGGAGGTAGAGTGGAATTTTTTAAATAAGTTGGTATAATTTTGAGTCTGAAATGGAATGCAGTGTTCGTTGAACCAAAAAGAATCGACAATCTCACCAAAATTACTGCCTTATTTTGTGCCTGTCTGCCTTCAGATTCCTTAAAATCAGAAGCAATGGAGAGTTGTATTTCTGGCGAGGATGCGAGTGAGTTTTCAGTGGACGTCGTTGATCAGTCTGACTCATTAACACCATCACATCCATCGTCTGCAAACGCCCCGGCAATACTGGGAGTGAGTTCTGTTCGTTGCAGTGATTATTACAAGTATTAAATAATGACTTTTATGTGAAATACAATCGTAGTGATTTTATATAATAAATGACAAGTTACACATTGTAATCTCATCTTTGTTTATTTGTGCAGAACCTACCACGTACATCAGTACCGTTTGGAGATCGGGACAAAGGTGAGGATGGTGACGATGTATCGCCTGGAGCACTTGAGCAAGAAACAGTTATGGAGGAGGAACATAAACAGGTGTGCTGTTATGGTCCATTAACATGTTATTTGTTAATGAGATTTTCGATCCATGTACACATTTCTTGTTTTTCTTATAATAGCAACGAACCTACAGCATCATTTTTATACCCTGTAGTGGTTAGATGCCTTCTACTATGGGGGAAATGGTGCGGGTGTGCCTAAGGGAACGCTGTCGAATTCTGCTGGACTCAGTATGGGATTACTTGTTGAAAGCAACTTTTAACCGATGACATTGCTAATTCTAGCCAATTGGTTGTTGACTTTTGATCGGATTTACGTAATATGTAGCAAATCCTTAACCACAACCTATAAATAGTAACCGATTTTACTGACCTTTTAAATAAGTTAATTGAAGCGATTGCCTTCTTTTTAAAACCTACATGTTTAAGATTCTGGCCAAGCTGAGATTTGTCGTGGAACTGGTGGATACGCTTGTCCAAGTTGCTGAGCAGAAAGAAAATCCCCTCATTGCTGCGATGACTAATAGAAAAGTAGGTGTCTCAGTATCCTTCGCATGCATGTATATAATGGAAAAGTTACGCATTTCAGACTGAGCCATCGTCCGCATTTAGGCGAGCGGAACAACTAGTGGTATATGTACGAGCTTTGCATATGTTGTCTTCGGCATTACTCTTGGCGCAAAGAAATGTAGCGAGCCGCATACTTCATCCGTCACCAGCAGTCCAGAATGTTCTCAATGTACTTAATGACAAGTATCATCAATGCTTGGTGAGTACCGCCACGACTGTTGCTTGTCTTTCTTTGAAACGGAGCTGCTTTGGTTTTGTACTCCATTTACTGATCTGTTCTCATATCCACTTTAAAACAAATTGTGGCTTTTGTCTCACAACACATGTTTTGAACTTAACTGATTTGAAAACATTTGGAATGTTTTACTAATGAAGGCTCAGCCCGACTAGAGATAGTACCGCTATTTTGAACGCTACTTCTTTAACAAGTTGGTTCCAAATCTGTTATAATCATTGTTTTGCCAAGGATTTCTATTCAGGTAAGGTCACAGGAATTGGCTTCTCTTGGGCTACCTGGACAAGATCCTGCAATGGCTGTTATTTCGGCGGAGCGAATAATGTACAAGCATGCAATTGAATTGTGTCAGACAGCTGCACTGGACGAGTTATTTGGGAACCCACAATTATGCAGTCAAAGGTTGGTCAATGCAGTATTTTATGACAGCCCCAGGGCACAGAAAAGTTCGTAACTATGAGCGACATCGTCTCATGTGAACATCTTTATCACCTTTTTTCGTCGTCTATTGTCTCCTTGACATTTTAACAATGGTTTTTTTAATTAATGCAAATAACAACAAATAACGGATTCGTAATATTCCTTGCAGTTTGACATCTTAAGAGAGTGCTGACGTTTCTGTTTCCTCACTTCCTGTATCTGTACTTTTCTGTTGTGATTTCTCATGTGTTACGTTTTAGGTACCAAACAGCTTACATGATGCTGCACACGTTATCCGAACAAGTGCACAGCGATCAAGACCGCAACGTACTGTCTCGTTATAAAAACGCCGTCGAAAAAAGGCTTCGTATTCTCGAACGACAAGGCTTCGTAACAGCTGTCAATACGTGCTAATCAGTTTTCGTGTCAAATATTACTTGCCAGATATGGGAACCATCAGCACTACTTTGAAACAAGAAAAAAAAAAGAAAAACAAACCCAATGTTTTCCAAATAAGCTGGGTGAGGACGTATTTCTTCCCAAAGCGAATTCATTTTAAGTTTGTTCATTTCATCTGTTTAAGTCAGACTTATGGTCAAACAATTATTCCTGTCTGAAAACTTATTATTTTATCAGAAGTTATCTACTTCATAACGCACCTGTTTATATACTCATAATGACAAATGTATTTGATATAGCAGAACTAGAAGTTTTAAAAATATCCCTGTTATTTTCAACTATTTCTGTCAAATCATGTCAAATCATTCATCTCTTATTTCCTTTGAAATTCCCGCCAATACTAACTCATTGTGTTGCTGTCATCCAAGATGTATAGCTTCTGTATTTGTACGGTTTCCTTCCTTACAGTCCCTTAAACCCTATGTTATAAATATGTGAACTAGATTTATCACAAATTAGAAGTTATCCTCTTAAGTAATGGTGCCGCCCTGGTTTCTGGTTCTTCTAGTCATTTATGTTTAGTTCACAATCAACCGTTGTAAGAAATCCTTACGTTTTAAAATATACGAATAAATGTGTACGGCATACCACTTCTCTGTGAACTTGAAACAACAATTACAATCATCTGGACAAAATTTAACCCATCAGTCATTACTTCAAGCAATTTATGCTCAGAAGAATAAACTAAAGGCATGGGCGGTTTATGCTTATAAACAGGAACAACGAAATGTGTTGGCTGCAATATCGGTTCTCAACAGATCACAGTGATGACACATTCGATCACAGATGAAATAAAGATGAGCGGAAGAAACGACACAGTCAGATCATTCTGGTAAGAACAAGAAACGGCGAGCAACTAAACAATATCATCATCACTTTCGCTATTTGAAGCAGTGAGAAGAATTTCGTCAACAGCATCAATTTCAGTTAGAAGTGAGTATCGAGTGACTGGATGAACGACGTCCCATCGATCGAATACTATGCCATCTCCGAGACTGAAACACTCGCGATCGTCGAGGTCGTTGTTGTCGTGGACAGGGGCAAATACGCATTCCCTCGTTTCCCCTGACCCTCTCCCTGATTCTCATGCACGGATGATATATGGTCACACGATCGGATTTGCGCCGAACATAATGTGCTCCGTGACATGGAGGTGTCTGTGTGATGTGTTCGAACATCAGATGTATACACATCTAATTGTTGAATACGAAACACTGAACCGTCTCCACCACTGAAAGCCATAGCTATCATTTTTGCCGCACACACACACACCTCATCTACGTACTATGCAACATTTCAAGACGCTAATGTACTACAACGTACGACACGCTTTTCTGCTCTGTAGAACAGTTCAGTTTTTTCAGTCACTCTGCGTTAAATCGGTAAGAGCTTTTCCCACCACTTCGCATGACAAAAAAGAAGCATAAAAGAATAAAATATGGTGCTCATTGTTGATTATTCCGCATAAATATGCGCCATGCATTAGATATTTTAAGCATCGTAGAGGTAATTGAATGTTTATTTGGCATAAGGAGTAACTTGTGGCCTAGCGATGTATCGAGTCAATGTTGTCCATTTTTGTCCTCCCAAACACCTTTGGTGCCCATTTTCACACCTTAGAATAGAGGCCTTGCTTTTCCTGGGGCCAGGATCGAACCAATGCCCACGTCTATTGCAGGTCACCTCTAACCACTACTACACGCAATCCACAAGAACGAAACAAAAGGTGGCAGTGGTCCATGATAAACGCAGTGGAAAACATCCACTTTTTTATTTTTATTTTACATGGTCCGTTTATCACATCTATTGTGCGGATTGCAGCACTTCTCGCGTTCGATTCGTTTCCTCGCAACACTCATCCTCGAGAGCATTCCAACTTTTTGCATGTGGGTTAGGCAGTTGTTTCAAGATTTGTCTTTCGCATTGAACGTCGTTGAGTGTGGTCGAGTCGATCATCCCTAGAGTCAGACAGTAGGGTTAGAGTGTTACCATTTGTATTGAAGAGTGTTATCTTTTCCCAGACAAGTCGTACCAATTTCCCCACCCCAGAAGAATGACAGGCTTGGTGAGCCCGTCACGAGGTTGAACCGATACCGTGCTCATAATGGTCGGCATTAGCACCGTTGTGCTAGCCTCTTTCTAAACTGCTATACAATTTGCCCTCGTTCAGCTCAACAAACAATTGTAGCTTTGTCATTCGAGAAAACTAAAACAACCCAGTTTATTCTACACAGCAGATATCTGAGTCCCACACTACGCTAATTACCTTGTTAGCTGGTATAGTCCAGGAATAGCTCTTTAAGGCGAATAGACCACCTGTGTGAAGAAATTGAATATATTCGTGAAATGTTGAACTGAATTAATTATACAACACTTCAGGTAGGTGGTAACAAAAACATGTCAAATAGGTTAGCATGAGGTATATAGCCTCTAGAGTGTGTAGCTTAGCTTAAGAAACTGTAATTGAGAAATTCGGAATGGAACTGTTAAACATGACCATACCAAGCATAAAAGTTGAAGCTATCTTAGACCATAAACTCGTTTTCCAAATACTACGACGTCTATGGTATTTGGTTCGATCTCGCACCCTGTCCTCCTCCTTCTGTCTCAGGTCGGCAAATGTGATTAGAAAAATATAAAACGAGGGTTTTACATGGTCCCAAAAAATATTTTATATACGATATCAAATATACATTAACCCAATTCCATGATGCCAATGTAGTCAAACGCGTTGCGCATCATAGGGCAATAAGATCAAAGCACTTTATCTTTTTTCCTTATTGTAAATCGAGTTTTCGGTCTAGCACTTCAATTTCTTGCAAAAGGAAGCTAGTGATACAGCAACCGAAGCGTTTCGAAACAATTTATCCCGCTCAATGGGTAACAGATGGCAAAATTAAACATTTCAAGAAATTTTGAATAGATGTAATTCTGGGTTTCATTTAAACTCCAAGTGATATTCTGCCGGTAACTTTTCAATAAAGAGAGCACTCGAACAGTTGTGAATTTGGATTTATAAACGAGGGCTTATAAAATCAAAAAAGGGAATCGTTTGAGGTTCAAGAAAATCTTCTCTCTTGAAAGAACACAGATATGAGAAGGAAAACCATATTTTAAAAACATTAATACAGTAAAAAAAAATCCGAGGGAAAACTAGCCAAACGAGACGCATAGGACTCACATATAAGAAAGAATTATATACCCAGTTCCTTAGAAGGATTCGTGCAGCTCTTTACCAACACTCCACCGAAAAGCCATATATGATTTCGTTTCATTTCTCATTTATTTCTACATGGATAAGATTTATTAGCACGTCGTTAGGAATACATCTAATGGTGACTGCTATACCTTCATTCGTTTGAAGTGCAGGATTCTCGGAAATTCAAAATAAAAATAGAAAAACATAGAAGTTAAATGACGCGCCTTCAGGTGTGATGAAAATAAAGAGAAAATCTACATTTTGTAAAAACAGGTACTTGAGTTTGGACCTCAAAACTAAGCAGTGAAACGTGACATAGTGTTGACAAGAAGCAATGAAAAAAATTTAACGAACCTGGAGAATACTGGTAAGAACCATAATCGTCGATCGTAGCCAAACACTTCTCTATAATTAGCACGAATTCCATGATCGAAAGCACGTTTGTCAAGACCTCCCTCGAGTATTGGAGCACGAAAAGATTCTAAATAATATATACACAGCAATATTATGGTTGATTATTAATTATTAATTCAGAGATAATATATCCCAAAAGAGTAGATGTGTGGAAGTTCATATTGTTTAGACGCACCAACTGTTGTTCTGTTCCGCGCTGTCAAAAACAGATGATAAGAAAGCAAAAATGAAAGTGAAGTTGCAAACATTCCCGAAACAAAAACCAAAAACAATAAATGAAAATTGTTAACCTGGAAGTACAAAATTAAAATCTAGTCGCATTACAACAAATGAAAGAGAATAATAAATCACTTTTCTTAAAAAGTGGAGGCAAAACCAGCAGCTATGTGCGTGGTGGCCGAAAAGTACGAGCGTCACAACACATGCGTTCTTGAAGATTGTTTTTTAGGTTCACCGCCCAACAATATCGCTAAAAAGCAGGACTGACACAACCTGTTCCAGAGAGCATTCTGCAGACTTGATATATCCTAGTCTCGATTTCATGAACTCCACATAGTCTCGCAGGTAGTTCCATACCTACCAGAACCTACGAGGAAAATCTAGTGAATTAGACTATTAGAATACTACGCCATTGACCCCTGGCAAGGTACCCAAGAATAGACGGTTTCAAATATTCGATCACCTTTCTGTTGAATGGGCAGGCGCCGAGTATTAAGATCACACTAAATTTTCTTGTTCAAGGAAAGATTAGTTCCTTCTGAACTCCAACACGATAGACTTCGACGTTGACTCAAAATCTTTATTTATGGCAATCACAGAGAATTTTTTTCTCACCAGATTCTGTCCAAACCGCAACTCTTCTATAAAGAGCGATTCCCATACAAATTTTTTCTTCAAGATTGTTTGAGAATTACATCAACCTGATGATAATCCTTTTGACCACTGTGAGCAACTTCCACCTCACAATCTACTCATAATCATATCACCTTAAAGGTGGAATGGCTAAAGCTTCCCACTAATTTATTGCTACCAAATAATGGTTGCTGAGCAAAGGATAGCTCTAGACTCCAAGCTCCCTTCAAACGATCGATTAGACGAGCTAAATGTTCCAATAATTTTAGAAAACCATTAAGGTTGGCGCCTTTTCTCCTGCTGATTCTCTCCTTGATCAATAACTCTGCCAATTCATAAGCAGCAATCTCGCTTCATGCCAGCATTTCCTCTTTTTCTGCAGTTGTCTCTTTCAGACAAATCTTATCGAGTTTCACTTCTCTTGCAATAACTTCAGCAAGATCCAAATTCTCCGTAAAATAAATGAAAGCCTGAGACAAAAACAACGGCTAAAGTAGTTGTAATATCCTACCTTAAAACTATGCTCCTGATAATCTTTTATCCAGAACCGTATAAAATATGGTAAATTTGTGAAGAACACAAATAAACAAAAGATTAAGCCATATCTAAAACATAAAGACGGAGGTGAACAATTTAAACCAGTACTCGACTTAGTCCGGAAAACCTTACCCTAAAAAAAGGAGAAAAAACTTGTAATTGTAGAAGCTCACACAATTGTTAACCCATGGACAATGATGGTCGAATTTTCTGCAAAAACCATATTTCGATAAAGCTAATAAAACTGACATGAATTTATGTACAACAATGAGTCCCACAGTATGCATTGCCCACATATGGAACAGTGGTGCGCTCGATCTGGCTTTATACACTTACATTTAGGACAATAGCGTATTCCTGAATGGAAATAAAAGCTATCATGGATAAAAGCATGAACAAAAAACTGGGTAACAAAACAACAAAACAGTCTAAAAGTACACTCCTCGCATTCCTAGACAAGTGAATAAAGAGTGAACAAACTAACCCTTATTGAAGTCCCGTGTTCTAACTGGTATTCTATGTATTGCCACATAGCGAGCAAGCACTGCTTGTTTCAACTGCTCATCTCTTTCGCAACTACCCAAATCATTCAGACAGTCTTTATCAGGATAGAACTAAAAAAGAAACACTGAAGAGCAAGCAGAGCATCCTTCAGGAGAATATGGAAGATAAAAAGAAAGAAAAACAGTAGAACTGAAGTATGGAACTCACAATAGAAGGCGGTGGTTTTATTCTTGAGAAAATGGTCCGATAATAGGAAGCACAAAATAACAACAGCAGAACATGAAAAAACGATAAATAGAGCACCCGCTGAACATTACTTTCCAGGGTCTCTAAAAGTCAGTCAACCATTAGCAACCAAGAGATAAGAAAGTGTTCTTCATAATGAAAGACAGCTTACTAATGCACAATTCTATTACATAAGCATAGTAACCCCACGCGATTGCTGCTAAAATGATAAGTACTGGAATCCACCGAACTGCCTGAAAAAATCCAGCGAGATCAAATGCTGTTCATTTGCCTTTCGAGGACCGTTTCCTAATTCAGTAGGGAACAGATTTTTACCTGAGCAACTGACTACATAAACATGGAGGACGAAGATAATTCACCTATACGTGTTGTCCTCACTACATAATTGAATTCTAACGAAACCCCCAAAACAGCTATTGTGAACGCATAAGTACTATGATAAGAATCTCGTATCTTCTCATGAAAACGGTGAATTATTAGAAGGAAATTTTACAAAAAGAGAAAGAAAATTAATTGCAAAGTAAGCTAGTAGAGACGTGGACCTACCGTAGATTAAGGACTAACTTAAGGAATGCTCCTTCTTCAGTTTACGACAATTTAAATCATATGAAGCTAAGAACAAGCAATAAGGAAAGTTGTACACGAAGAAGTCCGTGTCTAATTCTTTAGGTCATGGAAAATTGACCTTTCTATGACTACAAACGGATATAAATCAATTGTCTTACAAAAACTCTAAGGAACCTATCAGAGGTAGTTATTTAACGTAAAGGTGAAACGAAGCAAATAAACATATGAAGCAAATAGAATACAGACAAGCGCTAAGACAAGTCTCTGTAAAGAAAAGCCTCTGTAACTACAAGAAACAAATAAAATGAATGTGTCAGAAAACGATCTGCTTCAGCTAGTTCACTATACTTCTACCAAGAACCAACCTGGACACAATTATAAATGCATCCACCGGATTGTATACATTTCCGCATGCATTCTCCCATCCGTGTCTAGGAATTCATACTATCAGCAAAGAGTGTTGAATGGAAATACTTGATTCACTCAGGAATAAAACTGAAGAAGCTGACTTACATATAATTAGACACTTCGGTATGGATCGAGTTCTGGAATGGTGACACAAGTGTCCCGTTATAACACCCTTAAATAGGGTAAACGAGGTATTATAAACAGTAATGTAGAAGAATGTCAGATGGTAGTGAAATAGTAGCATTTTACGTGGTACAACACAATCAAAGAATGACTGAGATGAAATGCACAGCAGAACTTTGTGTTTCTAAGAAAATAACTAATGTTACTCCTCTAAACAGTCTACTGCCTCATCGTTGCTAGGAAGTGTTCCTGGGTGTCGGGCCGCGATGTACAGAGGGTAGATTCATCCCCCAGCAGAGTCTCCCAAGCTGAGAAGGAATCCGGTGTCCCCATCAGGAAGCCCAGCTAAGAGTAAACCAATACTGGGATCCACTACCATCCTGGTATCAAACTAGTAGCACGGTGGCAAATTCCCCTCTGATCCACAAGGGCGGCGACTGCCTGTGGTGGTGACGACCTGAGGGACAGTTTGGCCAGGCTGAGGTCGGGACTCCAGGAAACCACAATGGCTAAACCAGCAAAACTCAGAAGAATTGGAAATTATGCTGGGACCCGCACAACCAGTGAGAACGGCACATACCAGATTAATTTTCAGGCTTAACGCTTCTCATATTAATCAAACGAAATGTCAGCGACTAGAGAAAACCGGAATAGTAGCAAAAGAAAGAGAAAGTTTTCTGACGGCAGTACACATCAGAGTTCAACATAAACAATAAGCTCATCAACTTGTGCATTGATGCAATGTTGGTCGAAATTCTTAATTCGACTGCATTTTGCTCATTTCAATAGCGTTTATAATGGCTTAAAACTTTTAATGGTCACATTTCATTAGTCCGATATGTTGGCAAATCCTGAATATTCCTTTTAGAGAACTATTGTAGGTGTATGATAGGACAAAGGTCCAGATCCAAAGATCTTGCATCCAGCTGTGTTCATTGTTATCCTTATCGATTGCTTTGAGTCAGCGTAACAGATCTAAATTTTTAAGGCTTGTATTTGGTTTTAGCAATTCCTAAATTCGATGTGTAGTTCACCACCATATCTCGTTATTCACTCGGTGGTTTTTCAGTACAGGACCTCATGGCGGTCATTTGGAAGGAAACCTGAAGGATACAGAGTTGGTCCAGAGTATCGACCTGTCTCACTATGCTAAGTAGATTTATCTCATTGTGCTAAAAGATTTGTAACTAGTGAAAGGCTGCATCCCTGTGATTTCATGTTGATGATATCTATCAGTTACTTCTTCCCGAAGATTTAACCCAGATTCCAGGAAAAAGTTCGTTATCGTCTCTAGCAAATAAGCCTATTGTATCATCTGGAAATTAATAAATGACGAGATATCCGTGGATACATCCGGAAGTCACCGCATTGTCCGACGCGCTACCTGATAGTACGTCACCAAAAACATTTAGAAATAAAATGAGTCTCTCGGTTATCTTAATGTCTTTAATTTTCCTCAGGTGAAATAAGCCCACCGAGAAATTGTGGATCGGAATAAAGATGAGGGATTATATATCCGCTTATTCAACTCATTGGACGTTGACGGACGATAGAGTGGGACAACATAGAAGTGAAAATCAATGGTCGGGAATTAGACCATCTTCGCTTTGCTGATGACATTGTTCTTATAACACCAAACATTAGCCAAACGGAATGAATGCTTGCCGACTTTGATAAAGCCTGTGGAAAGATTGGTCTTCGACTAAATCTCACAAAAACGATGTTCATGAGGAACGGATTACTTATGTATGCTCCATTCAGCGGAATGAAGATTTCCGAGTGCTCCGGTTACGTCTGTCTAGGTCAGGAAATCAACGTGGTGAACGACGTAGCCCGTGAGAATGAGTAAGAGGATACATTGACTAATTCATACCGAGGTTAAAGAAAGTCAGTTGGTGAAGGTTTACTACCCAGCTGATGATGATACTGACTTCTGCAGGCTGGATTGTCCGGAAAAAACAAAATCGTTCCACCGCATAATCATATCAACTTCTTGTATAAAAGAGCATCGCTGGGTTGGTCTGTCTCACTTGAGCGATATCCCACTGAAGAAGATACGACTCGATACGACGACGAAGACACCACATCAAGAAGACGAACAGCTGTGGACCATCGACTCAGATCATCGGTTATGATTAAAACGAAGACGTCCAAAAGTTCAACTTGCTGTTAGCTGATCTATGAAAGGAGTTATTTAGCTCCAAAGTTGAGCAGGAGGGAGCGAGCAGACTGGACAAAGATCATCGAGGATGTAGTGGAGAGAACAATGAACACCCGACTCCTTGCCCACGTTTTCGACTCAACGGTACTTCCTGCCCTAACGTATGCGTCAGAAACCTGGTCGCTGCGTAAGCAGGAAGGAAGGTCACTCAGCGTTATCGAACGCGCACTCGAAAGGGCGATGCTAGGAGTACCCCGTTCCACAAAAATAAGGGATGGGATCCGAAGCTCTGATCTGCGTCAACGGTCAAAAATCAAAGATGCCGTTCTGTACGCCAAATAGTCGAAGATAAGATGGGCCGGCCACGTGATGCGTATGAACGGCAACCGATGGGCAAGAGCCGTTAGTGAGTGGATTCCTCGGGATGTCAAACGCACTGCAGGAAGACCACCGACCCGATGGTCAGTTCTTTACGAAAACTTAGGGGAAAGGTATTATACTCATCGAGTCTGAACGAGCAGAAATCACTGGGCTACTGTTGCACGCGACAGGGAAACATAGAAGGTTTACTGATCCCCGGGAGCAACAGTACGACAGGTGATACAGGTGACGCCCAACGAAACTGATAGTTAACCGAATTGTAGGAGATCTAGGTGATTTTCATATCTAGTGCAGTTATGTATGCGGAATTATCATAGACTTGCCACCTTGCCCGATAAGCTTTCAATGATAAAAGCAACTGAAGCAAAACAGCTTTGCAGCTGAGTCGTGGGTCTGCTCAGGCTTTAACGATCAGTTTTTCGCTATTTTTACAATTCCGTTCTGTCAAGTTGTTCGATTACAGAAGTGACTAGACATCACGAAAGAACATAACTCATCATTTTTATTTGGAATGTTGGTCTAAAAAATCAATGACAATTTTTCGTTCCACAGGTTTAATTTTGCACCAAAACTTCCTTTTTCGGCGATTTAAGGCCGAGATTGGCAGCAATATAACTCTTAGAGCAATCAAATGACGTATGAAGTTCACAACTTCTTTCATTTATTGTGGTATCTCGTAGCTATCATCCAGAAATGATCGAAATCGTGTTGGTTTTCGTTGAATGACTGTTGCGCTGGTTTTCCCTCGAAGTCTGATATAACCGGGCTATGGTTTTCCGAGGTTTTCAACACAGGCATTCGCCAACCCTTCTAGATCGGATAGAGGTTTTTTGCTTTGTGACCGATGCCTAGACCTTGCCAGTTCTTGCCAGATTCCAGCGATTTTTGTGATTAGAAGGCAAGTGCGTAGTTGAAAATATTGTAACAGTTACAGATCAGCTCCTTAACACATTCACTACGACTGACCTTTATGGGAGTCATAGGATACGAGAATAATGCCCGCTTTCAACTTCAAATCTATGTATATGTATGTCAGCTCATAGTTCTCTTGAATAAAAATCCTATTGATCTACAATAATGAAGGTATGGTTTTCTGTACCCCTTGACGTATATTTTCTCCACTTTAATGTTTCAAAGCTTATATTTGGAACATGAAAGAGAACGAAGAACCCGGATTTCGTCCAGCGTGATATCTCGGTTTTTTCCAATAAATCCTTTGTGTTTGGAACTGCTGCTTTTCTGCTGAAAATTTTGGAAGGTTGGATTTCATTGTCGGATAGAGTTTTGATTCTGAACGTATTTAAGCTTTAAAAGTCAGTATATGAAAACTGTACAAACGACTATTGGCATACAGTAATTTCTTCTGTAAGTCTGTAGAGTTCTGAACTCCTGAAATTCTCTTATGGTCGAGAACTTATCGTTTGTTGTCGAAAAACCAATTTCGTCACGAATATGTTAAAGATAGTAATTATCGATTTCAGGCTGGCAAAGTTATGGCTTAAATTTATGGCCATGGGCTAATGATTAACCTTGACAACTGTCATTTATTGACTGTATGAAGTGAGTGCTAGTAGTTTCCCTTTATTATCTTCTGTTTAAATAACAGTTATGAACGTGAAGTTATTTTGCTGTCGATAGTCTTTCGATAACATGGGTTCGTAAAAAAAATTGTTACGATATACTTGTACGACAAACTTGGCGTCGTCGCTGAAAACGAGAAAGAAAAGCGAGCCCTCGGTAACAAAATATTAGTCTTTCGTCATAGAATAGATAAAGTTGTATCTACCTAGCAAAGATGTGGACATTGTTCCTACATTTTTTTTCCTATAGTTCCTATATTTAATTTAGGATAAAGAGTAAAGCTCTTGACATTGATCAATCCCTGTGGGATGCGCTGTTCGCTCGCTTTCATTAAGCACCAATGGAGATGATTGAATACATTTCTGGTTTTTACAATAATTCGCACTAGCCTACCGATGTATCGAGCCAATGCTACTATCCTCCCAGGCATGTTTGGTACCAACTGTCGACTGCTGAGGTATGGAAGGCTTGGTGGGCTTGCGCTGCGGGAACCGATCCTGTGTGTATTACAAGACGCCGTCGACCACTGCGCTGCACGTGCTCACTCTATGTGATTAAAGACTGAAATGTCTGTGTTAAAAATAGTTCATTACCCGGGAACGAGCTATAGGTGACTCGAAACCTGGTCAGCATGTTGAGCATAGTACGAGGTACTTTAGTACTTCCATTATTCGTTGCAGAAATGTTGCAGAACAATTAAATGTCAGTTAATGTTATTTCCATTACTATTAAATGTGATGATTTAGTTATTTAAAGATTTCGAAATATCGTTTTATCATAAAGTTATGCTCACTTTTTCTGGACGTTTATTGGATTAGTAAATTCATTACTACTCGGTAAATCGTAAGTCATCGGTATTCAGCTAAACTCTTATCTCTCAGGACACACAATCCGGTAATCAGAGCGAAGAATGGATCATGAAGAATCACATATTTCTCTCTATCAAGCTCAAAAAAATGACGTGTCTACCATTTGTTCCAATTTCGCTGTTTACGTACTGCATGGAAATGTCAGAGGTAGGTGATCATCACATCCCATTATTACTATAGCTTGTGTTAAAAGCAGTTCTACAAAACATTAGCGTTCTTTCTAATTTGGTACTTTTCATAGGCATTGATATGGGTCCTCTTAACTTGTAACTGAGATGGCTTAGAAATTTCAGAACTCTATGGAATATCTAGTAATGTGGCGTCGCATCTTGTAGGGAGACATTTGCAAATTTCGAAATAATCTAGGTGTTAGCTTGGTTAAATTTGATTATGTGAGACTGAAAGAAATTCAGCCCTTTTTAGTTCTGACTGAAAAAACTTGGGCTAGCTATCTTTTTCCGGGGTCTCGTGTGTTACAAGTTGCGCCATTGAACCATTGTTTTGCCTTTCTCTCAGCTGGTTTTCTACCTAACGGTGCAGTTAGCAATCATCCGTCAACAGGATTGATCTGGCGAGCACTGAGCCCTTTGGATTAACCGGGTTCATGGCCGATTTGTACTCCCCAGATTAATCCCGTTGACGGATGATCGCTGATGAGACCGTTAAGTAGAAAAAAAGGCACTGGAAAGCAAAACAATAGCCTTCATGGTGCAGTGTGTAACATGCGAGCCCACGGAAAGGTTAATAGTGGTTTCGATCTGGCCTGGTGTCCAAGTTTTGCAGATATCTCAGCTTGATAGAGGTTATATTTCACATAATGCCCTACCGTGAAAAATTATAGTAGGCAGTAAGCAGAAGGCTAACATTGCGATTTCGGCTGTCTCTTTTTTTTCAGTGTTTGCCAGCGCCATTGCAGCACTTAGTAAACTAAGCGATGAACTCTACCTTCGACCTCAAAAAGATGGTGTGAGTGATATAAACTGACCACGATTTCAATGGAATTGAAGATTTCTTTCATATCATCTAGATATGCTTAAAAGCTTTTAATAAAACGAGGTCGGCTTATGGTGTCTTTCTCTTCGTGGAGTATTTCTTCTCCACTTATGACACGAAGTCTGTTCCAGAAATCGGGGCGGTGCACAGTCGGGTGGCAATGAAGGTATTCAAATTTCCTTCTGAGTTTTGAATAATTCAATTTGATTTAAATTGTTACCATACTCTCTATCAGATTTCCTAAAAAAAAATTTTTCTATAGACGGCTCTATCGTTGTTCAAAAGTGCTTATTTTATGGAGAAGAATCTCGTTTCATGCACGCTTCGAGTAGATTGCCTTGGTCGTGAACTTCACGTTGACTTCCAACAAACCTGTGGTGAGCTTGTTGAAATTAGTTCCTTTTCTGTCAAAATTTTTATGGTACCTCTGTTTCCAGTACTTTGCTTCTTCTGTGTACGCACTTTTTCGCATTTCCAATTTTACATGCTCATTGGAAGCAAAGGCCGTTAATTACCACCTTCCTTAATCTTTGTCTGAACCTAAAAGATCATTTCAATGCGAACAGTCTACTTGTTCTTCCCTTTATAGAACTAGCTGAGAGACGGGCGAAACGAAGGACCCGCATGGTGTGGTGGTGAACGCGTTACTACCCGGAAAGGACAATAGCGCGTTCGTTCCCCACCGCAGACACTTGCGGTCCGGAGTTTTGCAAATATCTCAGCATCATTGTGGTTGTTTCACAAATAGTACGACGCTGCCGAGAAAACTTGTAGAAAGGAAGTAAATAAAAAGTCAGCATCTTCCAGTTATGTTGTATATATGACGTTATAATTTATTCGTTATAGCAAAATACTTTCAGATGTTTCCCGTTCCTTCAATGTTAACATTATGGAAAGAGGTAAACCGTTTGCTTCAGAATTCAACAAAAATGATATGGAGAATATAGTTACAATTAACGCTTCGTGAGTTTCGACTTCTTGGACTTTTTCTGTTTGGTTTTCTGAATTAGGCAGTGGAACCGAGTTTAGTTTTGGCTGTTCTTATACGGTATATCAAGTCCTATCAGAAACTGACGTGGTGAGACAAATCTTCACCTGCTAACTCATTTGTAACTATGCCCATTGATTCTTTTATTGATAAGCTTAGATGAGGTTGACAAAAAAGTTCATTCGGCTAACATTTCGATCTCTTCGTCTTCATAAGAGCCGATGATCCTAGTCGATCGATGGTCCACAGTTTTTGGCCACCTTGATGTGGCACCTTCGTTTTCGTAACGAGTCAGGTCTTCTTCAGTGGAGCATAGCTCGAATGAGGCAATGTCACCCGGCGACGCTCTTCTATACAGGTTGATGTCCGGAAAAAACAGCTTGTTATCACCGGCCAATCACTATTGTCAACAATCACCATCCCGTATAAAAGAGCGTCGCAAGGTGAGATTGCCTCATTCGAGGTATGCTCCTCTGAAGAAGACCTGACTCGTTACGGAAACGAAGGCGCCACATCAAGGTGTCCAACAACTGTGGACCATCGACTCGAATCATCGGCTCTGATGATGACGAAGACGTCGAAACAGCTGAATAAAATTTGTTTAGGAATCTCGTGTTAGTTCATCAATGAAGGGAGGTACATATGAGGTCTTGGTTTCCACGTAAAAGTATGGACTCAGATAATGTCATATTCTTGGACTTTCACGGCGAAACCCTCACCATACATTCCAATCCGTCCTCATCTACTCTTCACAGTGCGAGTAGTGCTTTTTTCGTTGAGCTTATTGTTCGGAATGGTAATACTTCGTCATCACGTGTCACAACATTTTTCTTTGATCTCATTAACGGCTACTATTTGTTACGCGAGTAGATTTATTTTTTCTTTATTATTTTATACGTCTTCACGTCAGCTCTATGGATCCCAGCACTTCTCACTTCCGATTCGTTTCCTCGCATCCATGATATCCAAATTTTACTCGCTGGACTCCTGAGATATCCGTCTGAAGCGTTTTCATTGGATTGCGGAGAATGCATTTTCCCCAGAAAAGTTCCTTACCAATTTCCGGACCCCGACGGGATGGGAAACTTGGTGAGCCCGTCGCGGGATTTAAACAGTGCCCATGATGTCCGGCAACACTGCCATTGCGCTATCCGTCGGTGTAAATTTATTACCTTTCGGAAAAGCACACTTTGAACTGATTTCAGGAAACGAAGTGTACTTCCATTTTCATTCTGAATACCTTCGTTATAGCTATCTTCACGACATAATTGTTAGTTATTTTCAGAGAAATAGCGTCATTTTTGAATGAAATGAGAAACGGAAATGAGGAACTGATTATATGTGTTCAAAATGACAAGTTCATATTACAAAACTATATACCGTATGCGGATGGTTAGTACCGTTTGCCCTCCTTTTTTTAAAGTTATTTCAGCTCTGCACCAGAAACTTGTGGCGAGATTACCATCAGTTACCTCAAAGTGGGTGTTTAACAAGGCCTGAATAACCGTTAATTATGTAAACTATTCATATGACGTGTGGCGCAGTAGTCGGAGGCGCCCTGAAGTGGGATCGATCCGGGCGTCCCAGGCTCACGAAGCCTTCTATCCCTCTGGAGTCGGCAAATTGCTACCAAATGTCTGAGGGATAGTAGCACTGGGTCGACACACCGGTAGGCCACCGCGACTAATCGTAAAGATATGCATTCAGTCACCTCCAGCAGTGAGGTGGAATGCATACCTCATTCTTCATGGATTGATCAACGCAGGTAAGTTTATCCTTTATCAAAATGATTGCCATCGTTTTTAAAAAATATCTGAGCAGTTTATGTTTAAGTACATAGGAAACAATCACTGTTGGAAACGAGCCTTTTTTGGTAACGATAACTTTAGCTGAACAGAATATCTACCACTTCCTAAAATATTTTACTAAGAAAGTAGAGTTTCTTAAGACTTTGCCATTGTGCTTTAAATCTATTTAATCGATGCATTTCAATCTTTGTTGGGAAGAAAGGAGACTTTGCGCAGTTCGAAGTTTCCAATAATATTTGACACTTGTTACTAATTATGTAACTGTTTTCTCAAAGGTCTCTACGATGCTTCCGCTTGTAGAACGGAGATAACACTGCAGAAGACAATTTTCAAGAAATTCGTTGTACGAAGGCATACAGAAATAAGTCTTTGTATGAAGGAGTTCAAGGTACTTTGTAAAGCATAATACTTTAAGAAATTCCGATGATAGTATCTTATTTGGACACATATTGTATTTTCTGGCTATCATCACATTTGCACGTCTACACTTATGCGATGTTAGTCTGTTCTTTGGCAGGCCCGGAAGGTACATTCTTCTACTGCTGTTCTTGTTATCTCATTGTTTTTGTAATGGACTGACGGTTTAGGCCGCTCATTGTCGCACTAGAGGACGATTCTGGTTATTCATCAGAATTCATCATATCGACTGTTGAAGGCGATGATATCTCCGATGATGGATCTCTAGCATCAGTCCAAAGGCAGATTTGTGTTTCATTGAAGGAATAGGGAGATATTTCTTTTTCGGTTCTCTAGTCAAGTCTATATACTGTTACTTCGAAACTTGCAAGCCCGATATTGTCTTACAACGAACAAAATGCAATGTTTCAATCTAGCCAATGGCAAGTTTGTTACTGTTCTTGTCTCATTGCAATGTTTCTATTTTCTCTCGGAAAAAAAGTCGAGTTCACCCTCTTAATAATTCATCCCCAAGTGGATTGATGTTGCAATGTTTACCTTTCTTAGATTGTTAAGCTAACACAAAATTGATGAAGGTGTTCATTCATCTAACGTTCCGAAGTCTTTCCCGGCATAAGAGCCGATGATCCAATTCGATAGCCCACAGAAGATCCAATTCGGAACGACGACTAAGGCGCGACGTCGAGAAGACGAACGAGTGTGGACCATCAACTCAGATCATCGGCTCTGATGAAGACGAAGACCTGAAACGATGACCAAATAAACATCTAGATCAACATCGTGTTAGCTCAACAATCCACGAAGGTATTGATTATTACTGCCAAGGTTAAATAACAGTAGGTGTCGAAAATATTGTTTTAGAATGTTTATTTACGATGCCCTTTTCACTTCCAAATATTTTCAGGCCTTTTAATAACTGTTTTATTGTGGGAAATTTTATGGTCTTATCTCTGTAAACGTGTTAACGTTTGGTTTTTAGCGCAAACAACAGTCATCCGAACGACTTACAAAGCCAGTCTGTTTCTCAACAATCACTACCGGCTACACAACCGACTACAAACGAGCAGCAAAGCGATGGTGAAAAGATGGAAATTGTAAGAACTACCTAGTTGTTTCTGTGTACTGTGTTTGGCGCTCCGCATTGCTGTCTTTCTAGGATGAGTTCAGAGTCGAAAACGTGGTTGTGCAAAATAATTCTGAGACACGGCCTACATGTAGTCATGTAGTCAGTAATGATTTCTTATGTGGACAAAAAAGCAATGCATTGAATATGAGGCCTAATACTGAAGAATTAAGAAGGACGGACAACACCTCACTAAGGAAAAGACTAGCTTGTCCTAACAGAGAAGTCAATGTTGAGGTACGTTGTCGTCGTTAAGTCACGTAAAAGATCACTAACTATTTGGATGTGTCGAACCACTAGTTGCAAAAGCAAAAAGGTGTATGATTCGAAATCTAAGGGAAAATCTGGCTTCCATCTGTATTTTTTCTTTTCCTTATACATGCTACATTTTTCACGACAGTAAGATGAAATCATAATTTTAACAAGGACTATCGTTTGCTTATCTCTCCTTTGTAGTTTCAACGTCGCTTTCTCGGTATTGGCGTGAGAAAACAAAAACAGAGCCAAGCGTCAGCTACTGTCAGAACCATTGTTGAACCAACACAATTCGAAATGGACAGGATGTAACCAAACTCTCATCAATGCAAATGATGTTCACTCGTAAATTCCCCGACAATGTTTCATCATCTGAGGTTTTTCGGCGATCGCCTCTCGCTTAATTGTGTCGATTTAATGGCATTAATTCGTGTAACGATGATAAAGTAAGTGAAGAGGAAAAAGCACGCTTTGATTGTACAGCAATATTTTCTTACACAGTTATTTACAGATCAGATCGAGTCTTTCATTTGTACGAAAGTAGGTCTTCTTGGATAAATGATGAACAGTGACAACTGTATGATCGACAGAAATGTCGCGATGTAATTCGGTACCTGAATGTGCGCCACACTCTCGTCATTTCATGTGTCGTTTTTTCCCTGTTCTTCCGGTGATTTTCTGTATATTAAAGATGCACCTGTATGACAAAGTCGTTCACCAGAATACCGTACAGTAACCACTGTAAACTAACGGCAAAGCACGCCAGACATAATGGTAGCGGCAGGGTTTCGGAGTTTTTTGTACGAATAACCTAGAATGTCCATGATTTATAGGCTCATTTATAGTTATCGACTAACACAAATGTGCCAAAAATCATATCTTATATGTCAGCTCTCTTTGTTCCGTCAGAAATCAGTGGAACGGTTCTAGGAGTGGCTATGAAAGAATTGTGTAACTGTGTGACATTTAGGTCATTCCAAAAAGAATGTTACTTAAACCTGGCAAAATATTAGTTGGACGTATTTGTGCGATCCCGTTTCATACATCCGGACGAGAAGCTCTCGACAAAAACCATTAAATATGGTGACCTCGTTGGTACCTATTTGGTACGTTTCAAATGGTTTCCAGGTGGTGGCTGCGACTTTTACTGAAGGTCAACTGAATGAGCGATAGCGCTATATAACATGGCGGAGCAAATGAGTCAGACATTCGTTTTGAACTCAAGGTCTCATTGAATGGCTCACCTCTCCAATTTGAAATAACGGTGCTCCGATGCTGGCAATGTTAAGAATAATACAAATGACACCCAGAGTATCCCGTCCGCTGTCCTTCAATCCTGCATAGTTCACCAAATATAACATCAGTCCGATTGCAAGAAGTTCGCAAATGATCACTTTCTTCAGGATCTTCTGCAATTGATGGTTTTTTCAACGACAGAAAGCTCTCTGACATCTAGCACAGATTCCTCAATCACAATTTCATAAGTGATTTTACCAATTTCATTTGATCACATGAAAAAATAGGATAGCGCGAAGAAAATCAACTCCTTTCCCAAGCTTGTTAATTTTCCACATTTCGATGTTTGATGCTGAGATTTTTACCAAAACCGCCAACAAATAGTACAACGTAGAGAACTAATTCAAGGGAATATTTATACCTTCAAGCTACAAAAGATTGCAGACTTCGACAGGCTCCAAAATGCTATTAAAAGAACCAGATAACTCCATAATTTTTAATTTTGGCACGTTTTGCGAATGTCCCTACTGAGAACAGATCCAGTCTACGACAATGCAGGTTATTGATTTACTGCAAAATTATGAAGAAAACTCCACTCACAGCTTAATAAATTGCCTATTAATATACCTTTCCAGGCTCTGAAGAAGGCGAAACCCGCCGAAATGTCAGCTTTAACGGAATAAAGAATAAAGTAACATCTCATGTTTGCTCAACAAGAATATCGAGAACTACTTGATCAGTGCCGAGGTTAATAAAAAGTCGGTCGTGGGAATTTCCACTCATAGCATTTCCGGGTACCAGATCAATCGATGTGATCAATAGGATTTTAGGCAAAGAATAGAAGGTCCAACGATCTTCAAAAACGATAGTATCCAACGACGTTTGATGAAAGTAACCTGACATATTTTCTAAATTATAATACAAATGCACAGCAATCACTAGTAGAAACTGATACCCTAGTGCTTCCTTAACAGAGTTTCACGGTCATTTTTTCCAAACAACATTACCTTTGATACACTTTGCAAACCGATCATGAAAAAGACACGCCATAATCAAGTCAGCAGAATAGCACATCGAATACAATGATCATAAACATTACACCTTGTCTGTCGATAAGCTATCACCTCCAAAATTACGAAGAATCCAACAAAGCACATAATCTCATACATAGATTCCCGCATTCGTTCTGCATGCTGTGCGACCAGTACCATCCTCCTGATACCGAACTACTGCTATGTATTACTGACCTAGTAACAGACTGGTCAACACAATTCCTCTGTAGAAATCACGTCCATCTTGTAGCAGCACACATTTTACGTTCATTAAATTGAAAAAACCTACAATCTAAAATTCTTCTTCCTCCAGACTTTAACGAATTTATTCAACTTTTGAAGTTTCATCACGACGCAAAGGACTGAGACCACTCCATATGTCGCGTTTTTTTTTAACCCTCCAGCATTACTGTGCACTACCTATACAGTAAAGACAGAATGTTAGGTGACATTGAATAACTGTTCCCCTTCTTTCCATTATTGCAGCAACAGTGCAAGCCAGCACCTCTAAGATCGCGTTAATCGTATTTCACATCTGACGATATTATCGCTATAAAAAGCGACACACTGAAAATCAAGGGTCAAAATTGTTAACCAGAAATTGAAGGGAGTGATTTTAGTTAAAACGCAAGGTTTAAGTAAATAAAGATGGTTTAAATGAAGAATATTGCCGACGTTCTTCGACAAAACTACCTATACAATCGATTTTTCAAACCAGCGATAAACTCACTAACTTCTGACTGTATAAACATATGAGTCATATATGAATCACCAGAGTCATCACCAGTCTCCGGCACGGTAAAAGTGCTTTATGAGCTCTGATCGCTAAAGGACACAAAGTGCATCGCATTTTCATAACAATGCCCTTTATTCCCATCGATTCTGGCAAACGCGTAGTCGCTATGGCTAAAACGTCCAGATAGAAACCGCGAACTTTCCGCTTCGGTAAGTGCTGAGGAAGACATTATGAGGCATGCTTATATAGTTGCTATATAACACTGTAAAGGTTATTTATCCCTATAAATCTCCTACATAAACTTTTTTGTTTAATCCCTATTCCTTTTTCATGGCAAGGTAGAATGAGAAATAGAACCACAGTGATGCTGAGATATGATCACCAAAACTCAGAGCCTCACGAGGCCTTCCAATCCACGAATACCCTAACTGGCTGCTCACGTGCTATCCACCACACCAACCGAGGCAATTGCTGTTCTTTCCGAGTTATGTTTTTACTCTATCAGTGTTACCAGCAATAACTCATCAACGGAATAATCGCTGGTTGGAAGCCGTCCTAAGGTAACGGATTTTAAATTCGTTGAAATGAAACTCCTAAATGTAAAAAACCATGTCGTTTTCTTCCACGAGTTCAACTTTGGACATAGAACAGCCGTAACAACTCGAAGTTCATTAAGTGTGGGTCAGCAAAGCGTTTCCTAACAAACTGTACAAAAAACTTCCTACTGAAGATATGATTCCTGATGATGGAGTTGATTACAGGACCTCTTTAGCATTTTACAATGATTACTCAAAAAAGGAACTCGAAGTTCACCTTTTAAAAATACTCAACAGGAATTAGATGTCAAGTTTAACCGTCCCACACTTGTTCGTCATTTGACACAATGGAAGACTGAAAGTTATCGTCCACGTAAATTCTACGGTCAACAAAGAAAACATTTTCATGAAGTTTATCCTGAGCTCCTACACAAAGTCTGATTTCTCGACAATATCGTGGTGTACTGTGGGAAGTTTACCCGATACGATACCCAGTGATATCGAGGGTAGTTGTCTTCCTGCTTCTGATGCAACCTTTTCTGAAGAGTTTCCAAGATCGAATTAAAGCCAAAGGAAGACTATGGTGACTTTAAAATCGTCCAAATATAGAATCATCATTATAACTTCTTCAATTCATTTCAAACCATTAAAACAGATACTCGGGCAAACGGTAAAATGCACCAACAACAGCGACTTCTGAGAGTGATACATATCGACAAATTCTGTTAGCCTACGACATGCAAAAAACCTCACTCCAGGAACAGTGAAATACATGAATGAATTGAGATAATTGTCTTCATTCAACATAGTTACCGGGAATCGAATACCACCCTTTTAAATACGTCAAAAATTATTCGTTCACAAAATGTTCAAAGACCAAGTTGTTGATGAAAATGCCATGAAGAATTCATCAATCCAGAACAGGAATTCCGCGCTTGCAGAACAGACGCACTTTGTTAGTAAACATGTGCAGATTCTAATTTTGATCAACGAACTTGTTTATCGAACACGGAGCAGTTCACAGTTGTCAATTAAAATCTACTATTACTTATGCATCATAGATACTTGGATGGCACGTCCCCACTGGTTGTGCGAGCCCTAACATGGATTCCATTCCTAGGATTACTGCTGGCCTAGCAGTTGTAGTTCTCTGGAGTGCCGAGGTCAGCTTAGTCAAATTCTGCCCGAGCTCGTCACCACCATAGGTAGTTGAAATCCTTGCGGATCACACGGCGATTTGCCACCATGAAAGTAGTTTGATACTACGACAGTGGCAGATCCTGGTATTGGTTTAGTCTTAGCTGGGCTTGCTGATGGAAACGCCGGACTCCTGCTCAACTTGCGAGACTCTGCTGGAGCGATGAGTCGCCTCGCTGTACATGAAAACCCAACACCCAGGAACATCTCATAACCACGATGAGGCGGTAAACCGTTGGAAGAATTACTTATACATTTATATCTATACTCCTATGAATACATTTTGTTCTGCTTCTCAATTTACGTCTAAAGCGTAGTAAATACAAATGTACAAATACAGTTCAAACAACTCACAGAATGTCTCGTCATCCAATAATAATAGGTCAAATAACATCCTTGTAGCATAAGTCCAACAACATTCACGAAAATCACCACTCTATCCTGTTTCAGTACACCGTACTGCAACCAGAAAGCACATGAAATGAATGCGATGAGGAACGGGGCCGATCCAGTTCCCTCAGTTCCACCGCGCTCTCGAATTCTCGAACAGATTTGGACACCACAAAGGAAAAGACCGATGGTTGAACAAATCGCCGAGAACGACAAATACGGAAGTAAATCACCGGCAAACGTCATCTGTAATAACGAAGTCAGTGAACGGAAAATAATATAACTTCACCAACAAATAACGACAACAACTACCATATTTACTTCTACACTTCTGCACGACTGATGTCACGTATAACGCAGTAGTTAGAGGAACCCTGTGATGCACATGGTTATTAGTCCGATCCTAGCCCCAAATTTGACCAAAATTCCTACCACTTCGAGATCGTCGAGTTGGTATTCCATTTATCCGAAAGGGTTAAAACACGGACTTGACACACTGGTTGGATCACGCAAATCACCGAATGGGTTAAACATACATTCAATTCCTTTAAAATGTTTCATGCAGTTCAGTAAATAGCGTATTCCTAAGGGACAGATTAATCACGAACACGTTTTACACCCTTTTCTTTACCCTACCAAACCACAGCCACAGAACACAAAGTTCTATATGCATTGCAAAAATGTGTTGATTATGTGAGGTTTTTCTACCTAGAGTTACTCATCTTTGTAGTCCTTACCTCCACACTTAATGTTGATAGAAAGTGTAGGAAGCAAAACAAGCACCGACTGATGCGTCATGAGGTCTTAACGGTCTGATTAATATGCTTTGAGTCTATATTGCCTTAAAAATTGCCTATCATTTAACCTCGGCAAGAATGATGCATAATTTTTTATGTTTAACTGACACCGGGATGCTAGGAAAAATTTTTATCTGGCTAAAGTTTTTTTAAAGTCATGTTTCATCTTCACCTTAACCAGTTTACAGCCCCTTCATGATACGATAGCACAACTAACGCTTCAGAAAGAAGAATTTGCGTAAGTCCTTCACTTTATTAACACTGATAAAAAGCGATCCACTTTAGTATCCCTGATACCCAAATGACGTTCTATACGATTGAGCTGACATGAAGTTGGCATAAAAAACTTCTATACGGCTAAAATCCCGATGTCTTCGTCTTCCCCACAACCACATTGACCCGGGTCGATGGTCCCAAAGTGGTCGTTGTTGCGAGGCAAATTTCTTGGTCGGATTGAATAGAATCGAATCTAGTACACGGAGCACTTCCCCAATGATGAGCTTCACCCTGCGGTCCGTTTTTGTACCGGCAAGACGGTTTTTGGCGGATAAAACGGAAAATTTTTGACTTTTTCTCCTGAGGTGTAGTTGAAACCGGCTTTTAAGATTATTTCACGTTATGTCCTAGAAATGAAATACAACTCCTACAGGATGCATTATTCTGTTCTGCATAACAGAGCACCGCGGAGTGAAGTTCCCCATTTGAGCGGTGCTCCCTCTATTGGATTCGATTCGATTTAACCAAGAACACACGTCGCGACGACGACGAGCTGTCGACCATCGACTCAGCTCAGCTCGGCTCTGAAGAAGGCGAAGGAGCCGACACGTTAGCTCAATCAAAGTTTTGAACACAAATCTCGTATTAGCTCAATCATTGAAACCATTTGGATGCCAGTTTCGATATCTGGGTTAGCAATAACAATCACTGTTCAAAAACGTGACTGTGGTGGAAAGCTACGAAACTTCTTCTGTATGAAGCGTTCCTTGTTCTGTCGTATCATGAAGTGACATTAGTCCCTTAAAGCTAAAAAATGGGATACTAAATCTTATTAGATATAAGATCGTTAAGCTGACAATTAAAACATGACTTATGAATTACGTACAACCGACTTGAAAGTTTCTAACAAGACAATAGGAATCACTCTCCAGTGCTCTATTATATCACCTGAGCTACAAGGTACTATTGGGTGTGAAACTCTGACGTAAAACAGTTGTTTTCTCCACTAACAGGTAGAATCAAGTTAAAAAGAAGTCAGAAATTTCCACTGAAGGCCAAAATAGGGAAGAACCAACGCCAGAAATCATCGTCACTCTGGGAGAAATTTAGTGCCGAAGTTGCAAACCGGGTCGGAAATTCGCTAATGCTGCTAGTTATGACAACATGGTGATGTTCAGATTAAGCAGGATTCCATGGAAAAGCTTGCCGTACCAGAAGAATTCCAGTAAAGTGAAAAATGCATTAACCCATGTGATTCATTGCGATAATGGACTAATTAGGTAATAAGGATGGTAGGATCTAAAGACAATTTATCCAGAAAAGGCAATAAATGACAATACTGTGATGGGGAGATCTTAACACGACAGCATAACAAAAAGGAACCCTATTCGAAGCCGTGTCGACGCAATGTGCTGACAACGAAAACACAAATTGCTACATTTCCAACCATAAAAGGCAAATAAAAATCCACAAACACTATCGACTTTGGAATTCTTTCACTTTAATAAAAAAAAATAGCTCCAAAGATTGCAACCTCCACAAGAATCATCTGGAATAGTTCGCAACTAGGCAAATGTTTGTCAACTGTTTTAGAACCGGATAAAGAAAGTCAGTTCACTGCGAGGCTCAGAAAATCAGCGAATGAAAAGTGGAAGAACGCCAGTCGTCTTTCAAGAAAATAAAAAGCGCTGTGCGTTTGAAAATCTGGAGATGCTTTCCTTGCGCCAAATAATTTACAGTCTGTGCGAATACGTACACGACAACTGTTATCCGTCTAAAAATAGTGGCGATTTCACGAAGCTACTTCTTGTTTTGTGCCTATTACTATTTTTCACAGCACGGTATGATGTGAAATACAACCACTATGAGGATGACATATCTGCAAAACTTCGGCCTCAGGCCGGATCGAACCCATGAGGAGGAAGTGATCTGATGAGGTATTGCGTAAACGCTGATGGTGCAAGTTGTCCCTAGAAAACTCGGACTGAGATTTCCGTATCGTCTGGGACTATGAAATAACCATACATACTGTCGTTGTTTCATATGCCACATAGTTTTGTAATTAAACCGATAAAACAAAGACATATTTTTGGATGTTTAGTGTATCTGATTTTAATCGATTCTTGTTTATTCCATTAAAGATATCATATTTTGATTACCAGTAAGGAATTCCTTCGGTACCGGATAACGGTTTACCGCCTCATCGTGGCTGGAAAGTGTTCCTGAGTGTCGGTCTGCGATGTATAGCGGAGGATTCATCTCTCCGCCCCCACCCCAAAATGGCTAAACCAGCAAAACTCCGAAAAATGGAGAATATGCTGGGGTCCGCACAACCAATGAGGACGGGCCATCTAAGTATCCAAGTATTCAAATATGAACTATAAAGTGTAGCATCAATTCTTTACCACTTCGATGAAAAATGGTACCGAAAACCGACGAGGCGAGATGTTCAGAAGGTTCTTAACCAGATTGTTTTTTGGAACAAATTTTCGTAGGAAAATGAAGTCTTTCGCTCATCAAAAAAAAGAAGAGCTGTCTCGCATACATGTGGATTTGCATATAATGTAATCCACTAGTTCTTCTTTATCTACCTTAGTAACGAGCTTGAGAGTCACTATGTAAGGCATAGAGTTAAGGTAGAATATTCATTGAGTTGATATACAAATGGTGTCTGTAATTCGACGATAACAACTTTCTAACATCTACTGTTCAACGGGGGCGCGTGCAGCGCAGTGGTTGGAGTCTCCCTGCAATACATATGGGATCGATCTCGGCGCCGCAGGCCTACCAAGCCCTTCATCACTCTGGGATCGGCAAATTGGTACCAGACTGGTCTGGGAGGATACCAGCACTGATTCAATACATCGTTAGGATACCGCAAGTAATTGTAAAGGCCAGATATGCATTCAGCCACCTGTGACGACTCTAGGAATGGAGACAAAGGCATGGGGCATTCCTCTGTGATTGATCAACGCCGAGAGCTTTATCCTTTATTTACTGTTTACCAGAACCTTCCAGAATGATCAGAAGAAAGAACTTCTTTCTTTCTTCAAGACAGATTTTGCATGATTGATTGATTGACAAAATCTGTGCAGTACAACCACGATGATACTGAGATATTTGCAGGACTCAGACTCCAGACCAGATTCGAACTCGTGACTACACTGCATGCATGCATGGAACACATGAGCTCCTGGCAAGTGTAGTCACGAGTTGGGATCTGATCTGGGGTCTGAGTCCTGCAAATATCTCAGTATCATCGTGGTTGTACTTCACAGATGCTGTCCCCGAAATCTAAAATAGTCATCGATTAATGCGAATGAACAGCATTGACACTGATTTTTTATATGATTTCTCTAAAATGACTTAAGTTTAAGAGATGTTGATATTCGTCGAATAAATGAAATTCCTTAGCAGACGCTACAGAAATGTATTTAATGACAGTAAGCTTTTTTGTGATTTTAGCAATTCTATTTGATTTTATTTTTGACTCTTTATTTTACCATGGATGTTTCCACAACAGTGAAAATGAAAACACAAACGACGAACAAAGCCATTAACTCAAGTTCTCCGGAATATTTAAACTACTCTTCCGAAAACTATGCAGAGAATAATTCTCTAGTTCATTTTAGAAACTTCTAGATTACAAAAGTGTGCTCTAATCGAACTATGTCGGACAACCATACTTATTATAACTGTTTATTGTTTTGCTAAATGCTTCCATAGAAAATATAATGGTTTCAAGTAATAGTAATATTAATAATAGTAGTAATAATAGTGTTAGTAGTAACAAAGAAGTTACAAGGAACGGTGTTCTGGATGTAATTATATAAACTAAGATTCTGAATATACTAAACCGGGACCGGAGAAGTTACTACGTAAGATCTACACCGGTGTTGATGGTCACGGCGGTTGATCACTACAATGGCTAGGCAGACTACTAGAGAGTTATGAAGTAGTAGTAGTAATCGAATGAGCCACACGACATCTATACAGAATCTGATGGTGAGAAGAAGACGTGCGCAACAGACGACGCCAAACTACAGACGGTATTGGTGACGACGGCGAGGACAATCGCCATGTCGTACACGTATTGCTGTTCATCATCTACATCGTTCAACAAGTATAAGGCGCTGTCAAATGTTGTAAAAGCATACAAACACACACATACGCACATACAGATATGTGCACGTGCACGCGCACGTCATACACACACACACACACGTACACATGCACACACAAACATGCAATAATACCTTCTTAACATATGTATATACAACGAGATAAGGAATGGGCCAGAACAACGGCTCTGCCGGTACACACGTAGTAATTTCGTATACAATAACAGGCAGACGATTAACGAACAATAATGATAAGACACTCGGTTGGGTTACTCTTCCCGAGTACGTCAACAATTGTCACATAAAAAACGAGGAACAAATGTGTCTGAAAAACACTATAAAAGAAAATGAGGAGAAGAAAACCAGATAGGAGCAAGAATGTGGGGAAAATTTTCAGTGCATAGAAGGATACTTAGTTCTTAAGCGGGCGTGGTCGGATCGGTGGCGGACCAACGCTGAAGTCCGAGGCGACGAGTCGTTCCACTTGCGACTTCTGGACGACGTCTTCCGGACCAAGGGTCCAGACCAACGAGCACCAGTTCACGGCTCGTGCACGGCATGCTGCTCGTCGTACGGCGATCAGCGCTTGTGTGAGGCTGGCAGTTTCTGCAAGTATTAGCGATTTTGTGCAAAGTTGGCGAGAAAAATGACAGTCAGCAAAAACACCTTTTCAATTTTTATATAGTCTTATGACCTCCCAACGGTTTATCTCCTCATCGTGGCTGGGAGGTGTTACTGGGTGTCGGACTGCAATGCACAGCGGGGGGACTCGTCCCCCTGGCAGGGTCTCCCAAGCTGAGAAGGTGTCCGGGTTTCCATCATGAAGCCTAGCTAAGAGTAAACCAATATCAGGATCCACCACCGTCTTCGTATCAAAGTCGCATGGTGGTAAATCTTCCTCTGATCCACAAGGACTGCCTGTCGTAGTGACGACCTGGAGCAGACTTTGGCCAGGCAGTCCTCAGGATTCCAGGGACCACAATGGCTTAACCAGCAAATCTCCGAAAAACGGTGATTATGCTGGAGCCCGCACAACTAGTGTGGACGGACCATTCAAGTATCAAGTAAGTAAGCATAGTGTTATGTTATTGGATAGATGGTAACCTGTCTGGATTTTGTGAAACAGCTACAATGATGTTGTGATATTTGCAAAACTCCGGACCGCAGGTGTCTGCAGTGGTGAACGAACGCGCTATTGTTCTTTCCGAGTAGTAACGCGTTCACCACCACACCATGCGGGCCCTTCGTTTCGCCTGTCTGTCAGCTGGTTCTATCGATCACTGCCATAAAAACATTGTCCAGCTAGTAAAAACGTGAAAATTGTCTGAATTTTGATTTTTAACAAAGATTTTTCACTTTTTATCTGCTTTGACCACTGTATTTGGGTTAACCAATCACAGTGGCCAGTCAAGGGTAACCACTTCCGTCGACCAATCACGTCCGAGTGAACGTTCCATACTGTGTCGCTTTTTACCTTACAGAAGTTCCATGTTTTTCCTTTTTAATGTGTCATATTTCTAATAACTCTAATTGTTCTTTACAGTAGATGTAACAACTGCAAAAACAATGCAAATTTCGTCGCACTTGAGAGTTGTCCTGATTAGTTTGACCTTAACATTTGCCTAAGAGTTTGATTATGCAGTCATTCTCATCATGCTCATATTTGCTATAGAAATGTAGTAGTAAGTTTTTGCACCTTTTTCTTCGTCATATCTCACAGCTTCGCCACGAAGTTGTTGTAGTATTGCTGTGCGCTCATGATGTCTACAATGTTGCAAGACGGTGACGGCGTCAAGTAGTTCTGAAATTTCATATATGTATTAACCATTTTTTACAGTAAAATAATATTTGATACCTACAGAATCCAATATTACTTAGGAAGAGAAATAATTATCCCTTGTAAAGAGCTAAACTTTCAACTGAAACATAGAATTCACGTCTGGGTGCTCAAATGCCCTTGTAATTTTTGCTAATGAGCTCATCATCAGGAACTCAATAGAAAATGACCTCGTCGGCGCTATAGACCAGATACCTCTCATACCTATCTTTGAGTAGTCTTCCTAACACACTTTTTATCTGCGCACTTCCTCCTCCTCTTTAAACAAATTTTTTACAATATTGCTGTCTTAAGCGACTTAACAAGTTCAGCAGAACCTTTGAGTGCTTGATGAACAGGACTGGGTAGTGGAGCGCCACGAAGTTGTTCCATTTTTGACAGTAGAGTGGTGATTCGAGCATGTTCACGGAAGAAATCAACTATAAGCCGATCAACACGCGACGGTGCCGTAGGAAGGCGTGGAATTGGAAGACCATTGGACGAACTAGAAATAAAGTTTCTGATAAAAAAGATTCATTAAACCGATCAGTGGACTTTGAGCGCTAATTCAGAAGAACAGCAACGAATAGATCGATCTCGCATGCTTACCTGATCTTCTTGCCAAGATTGTGTCTGGCCAGTTCAGCTTCGGTTTGCTTTCGCTCTTTCTCAAGCTGACGATACTCTTCACAACATTCCTCCAGTCGCGCATGCGATTCGAGTACGGCGTTGTTACGTCGCAATGCAGCCTCTCTTTGTACTTGTTGACTAAGTCGTGGTAGAAAATAGCTCATATCGTTGCTACTCATCTGTGAGAACACATCATCCTCAGCCAGTGGAGCAGTCCACGAGTCTATCTGAGTCATATGTGGCCTCTGAATTGGTGTTGGACGATAGGCAGCGACACCTGTATCACAACGCCCACCACTAGTGGTGGTCTCAGAGTTACACCAATCAGTACCGATAGTCGGCTGGTGGATGTTTAGCTTTAAAAGTTCATGTATCAGATTGTATTCGGTTGATGGTTTGTTTGAGGTCGACGGAGGTGTCGGTTGACGAATTGCCGGACGATCGAAGCAGACATCGAAATTCTTTCGATCCTGTACGACGCTCGACAGATGACCGGATTCGAACAGGGACGTGTCGTACAGCTGGGATGAGTCGTCCAGTGGCCATGCGGTCGACTGCTTTGGACTCGACTGCAAATGCGACGACGTCGACGAACGAACGCTGTCACCTTCGGAGTCGTTGAAACTCTGAAATACTATAAAATACAATTGAATAAGTAAAGGAGCGGCAAAAATCATGATAACCTTGAACTTTCTGCGATAATTGTAGCTTAAACGAAGTGAATTTTCTTCGGTTCACTATTTTTTATACACGTCCTATATCTTTTTCTCAATACTTCATCTTTTATAAATCGAACCATGAAGCTTTTATTTTCCATAAATATACTCTTGAAAAGGGCGCGCGTGGCGCAGTGGTCGAAGGCGCCCTGCGCCACACGCGTGGAATCGATCCCCGCGCCTATGGCCAACTAAGTCTTCCATCCCTCCGTGGCCTGCAAATTAAAGGCCAGATATGCATTAAATCACCTCAAAACGATGCTTAATGAAGTCGAATGCATGGCGCATCCCTCAGGGATTGATCAAAGCCCAGAGCTTTACTCTTGAATCCTCCTCTCACACTCTCTTTATGTGGGTCAATAGCGAACCCTCTTCTTCAAAACTGTAATCGTTTGTAATCATTTTGTATTTCCTTGCACAGTTTTGAAACTACTGATCTTTCATTTTGAAGCCGAAGCTTACTTACCAAATCGAAAGAACTCAAAATAAAAAAAACTACTGCATCAGTCGGTTTTTCCCCATTATTTTGCATAATTTTACCTGTCTTCTTTTATTGAAAACAACAGAACTCAACAAAGAAAGCATCAAAAAATTGGAGAAACTAACAAAAAGGAGACTTCTTTAACTCACACTGCAAAAGAATTAGTGTTCGTTGTCAGCAAATTCCCTCTTGTTTAAAGTTCTGACTCATCGGAAATGAGTGTTCATCATGTTGCCACACATTGGTAACAATCGATCAATAGGCATATTATTCACTGAGTGCACTTTTAGTGTCGGAAATGAGGAGAAAAAGAACAAGGAAACGAAGACAACTACACAAGTCCTGGTAATTTCTAGAAAGCAAAAAATTTACTAACAAGTCATTACTGTGCTCAAATAATTCTCGATAAATGAGAATACGCTACAATTTTCCCAATGAGAAGCATCTTAAATGGTGAAATCGCGTAGTTTATTGGGGTTCAACATCGAACCAACTATGTCATAGAACAAAACGGCGACTTATCAGACTGCTCCATACCCCATAATTCATCCTCTTGTAAGAACTTGCCTCTTTATGCTAGGAAAATCATAGAATCAAATGTTCACCTATTCCTTTTATGCACGTTTTAGTGGAGATTATGAAACGAACGATACAAATCATTAGGAGAGCGTCTTGAATGTTAACGCATAAATAATACTCTACAGGTATACTTTGTTTGTATTTTTTTCTCTTCACTCACTACCTGCTGATTCTGCTTTTGTTCTGTTTGTGTTAGCAAAACGTTCCCTTGCATCTTTCTCTGGACGCTTCTAAGTGCACTTTTTTTTCTCTGCAGTTCTTTAATCTTTAACGATTTTAACGATGAGGCGAGCGGCAGCTGTACGTACGTGTTCGTCGTCGATAGGTTATTTCCTTATTGTCTGCTATTATGCTAGGAAGAAAACGGCTGTTACAATAATAATAAACTCGTCCCTATATCGAAAAAAAGAACGTATGGAGTTTATCGTTGGCATTGTAATGCTACACTGCATTCGCAGGATGTAGCAACTCATAAAGCTACACCCGGCAACAATTGTATAATGATGTGTTGAAAAGTGTACTCGAACTACGACATCGTTAAGAACGGTGGTCCTGGAACCAAGCCATGAACACTATTCATTGACATACAGAACACCATACGACAGTGGCTTTAAGCAATGGAATTCAACACGGTTGATAAAACTTGAAAATCTTTGAGGGAACCCCGATTGTACTTAGGCAACAAATACTCATTGACGATTTGCACTTTGCTTTTTCCTCTGGCAAGAAGTCAGACGATAGATGTGCGCATGTAATTTCAGTGTTTTTATGTTTATTACATCATATAGACGATCGTATAAAAATTCATTGAAACGAGATTCTTCATATGTTGACAGTTGTCTACAGAAAAGTTTGAAGGCGAAATTATTTTGATCAATCTATTAATTCCTCATCAACGACTTACGCTTTGTCATCGATGGTGGCGGATTATCCTCCTGAGTGTCAAACTACTATGGAGAGTACTCGTCTACCAACTGGGTGGCTGTCCAAATCTGTGCGAAGAGTTCGATTTCTTTCGTATCGAAACCCATCTAAGGAAAAACGTATACTAAGAATCGTGGTGGTCCTGGAAGAGGCATCGTCATAAGACCACGAATTCCGCCTCCGATTTAGAAAACTCGGCGAATGCCCGTAATGATAACCTAAGAGCGCCAACCTATCAAGTAACTTCAAAGGTGAGAAAAATCGCCCAAGAAATTCCTGAGGAAACGCAGTGAGGTCCCTGCCATTTGTGGAGACGGACCCTCTCCCGTAAAGAACTGCATTCGTTGAAGTTCCTCGTAACCTCTCAGCGATGCCGTTCACCACTATTCTCCCTCGAATTTTGTATATTTGATGAAAAAAGAGGGAAATACGACTTCATCGTTCGTATAGCTTGGAGTTGGGCGAGGATCTACATGGTAATCACTTCATCAATCAAAGATTGCGTACCCATTTAGATTGTCAGTTCGTGAAGTGGACGTGTTTGTACGGAGAATGGGAGGAATCCATTCGACTGTTTCATAAAGTGCAATATGTATAGTGGAGCAGATTTACGAAATCAACAACAGTATCAGTCCAAGGATTTAATTACTGCACGGATACGAAGAACTGCGGTTATTACATGAAACTCGAACACGCCTAAAAGTCATAGAAACGATTCTCTTACGACAATGATTCCTTTCTTAAGCTTGTAGTAACATGTTCGAGTTCATGAGTTTGCTTTTCACCAGCTGTATGTCGTTCCATAGGTTCCACCGCCACCGGTAATCGTTCCATGAAAATAAATAACAGCAATAAGACACTTTTCTTCTGGTGAACATTTGCCCTATAAAAAGGATAAAGTTCTCGGCGCTGATCAACTCTTGAGGGATGCGCCATGCATTCGACTTCATTAAGTATCGTTGAAGGTGATTGAATGCATATCTAGCCTTTACAATGACTGGCGGTGGCCCACTGATGTTCCTCCCAGACAAATCTGGTACCTATTTGCCGACCTCGGAGGGATGGAAGGCTTGGTAGGCCATGGGCGCGGGATGAATTCCACGTGTGTGTCGCAGCGGCGCCTCCAACCACTGCGCCACATATGCCCTATTAAAAAGAAAATCATTACTTTTGGACACAATTCTGTAAATAAAATAAAGTACGATGACAAATGCTGTGCAACACTAACGTAAATGAGTATCCAAGGATACGAAAAAAAATCTGAGATTGCCTGATGAAAAAACTCTCCATAGAAAGCTTGAACGTTTTCGTTTTGCTTTGTTATCTAGCTTTGCTTGGCGTTTTCACTGGCTTTTAGTTGACCTGTTGAATGTTCGTGTTTCATAGGAGCTGCCAAAGGATATTGTCAAGGACTTGGAGCCAATTAGTGGCTCAACGCGTACCCAGCTTAGGAATGGGAGGTAGAGGTTAAAGTTAGGCCTTTAGTTATAGAGCCACAGATAGAACCTGGAGGTCGACCCCTTGCCTTTACAGCGCTGCATCAGCTAACACCTTATGAATGAGCATATTCAAGAAGAAAGGAATTATTTGCATGTATGGAGATTGTGTACTGTACATTCATTAGGCGAAAGATCAAATCACTGAGAAGCACACAGTTGGAGACGATCTGTGGCCCGTCAAATAGATACCATTGCGCAGCGCTGAACACGACAAAAATAAACGGATGAGATTTTACTTGTCTTCATTCGAGTTGTGATCATCGGACAGCAACTGGATCACCGCAACCCAAAAGCACATCATCAAGTCTTCTATGTTCTCGTGGCTGATGATAAATTAACTACACATTCGTGCACTGACAAAACCTCCACGTAGTGCTCCAAAGGCATCAGTTAAATAGTAAGTCCAAGACCGGAAAATTTTCCCGCCTTCATTTTTTTAAATTCAAAGGTGATTAAAACAAGTTATCTAACCCTGAACGGACGGCTGTCGAGTAGTTTTCCATTCATCTAAGGAAACATCATGGTACGAGCGAAAAAATGATCAAACAACACTACGAACTTTTTGCAGGACGAACTACGTCGATCGATACGCCTGTACTGAACAGGAAATCGATTTCGAGCGAGTAAAAAACGGACGTGAAAATTCGTGACACTTCTTTCCACTAGGTTCGTACTGAACGAGATCAACTCCTAGGAAAAAGCGAATAATAGCCGATTTTAAACGAACGCCGAAGTTTTAAATCAGACTTAAAAATGAGGAAAAACTGTTACTTATCATCCTTTAGTACTTTCCCATTCATACTCGAAAAGAGATTGGTTTCGAAAAAAATGTTATGAGTGACAAAATTGGTTATCGATCGACCCGACCACCGCCCTTTAAACGTTGTATTTGAGAGGGAACGTTTCTTTTTTGTTCGCTCAGCACATTGTTCGGGAAAAAAACCGAACCGAAACGACGATGGATGAGAATCGAGCACTCTTTCATCATTTTTTTTCTTTGGTTACTTTTTTCTTCTTTTGAGGTGAAGAATGACCAAAGACGAAGACATGACAGAACGAGTTCAAAATTGTTACGACAAAAATACAATTCAATTTGAAGCTTAGTTGGATAGGGATTCTCTTTACACTTTACTTCAATCGTGTTTCCTCACTGAATAGAAAATGAGAAGAGAAGATATTAAAAACTAATCAGAGATAAGAATGATAGCGCCAGGACTGACGAGGAATCAATGAGGAACGTAACAGCAGTTCTAGCCATTTCTCATCCATTCATTCACATTTAGTGTTACTTCTATGAAGAAGTCACTAATCAACAGTTGACTGCTTCTCGCAAAAGTCACAAAACAATCTCTAAGCTGGTATTGATCAATTTAGAAAACAATTAGTTTAAAGGGTACGAAAAAAATTCCGTTACAGAGGAATGCAACATAAAATAACCATGACCATAATCAATTCTTACTCATATGTTGGAAGGAAGCCTGTTCTGTTATTAGGGAAGAATGACATAACGTTAGACGACCAAAGAACGAGCTAGTAAGAACGCTGTTAAGAAGAGGAAAAATCAATGATTAGTTCCTGGAACAAAGTTTTGTAGGACTTCTAAGATATTTAGAACGTAGGGAGATCATTTATTGACGACTTTTACGACATTCAGTGTTTTACAATCATCAAACTTGTATTCATTCTGGATTCCCATATGAGATGTTCCAGAGAGAATTACGGTAATGTGTTTCGAAGTGTTACATCGTTTTTTTTCTTTCCTGTCCCCCTCTGTAAACCTAAAGTGCACTGAACTATTTCTGCCAATGATTGCAGTGAGCATGAGAAACTCTGCAAACGATTATTTTAAATGATAACAAACATTTGAGAGCTTCTTTCTTTCTTTTCTAACGAAACAGAACGAGGCCTTATTCTTCGCGATTCGTTGGCAAAACAATCATGCTTCTCTTTCTTTCTGGCCTTTTTCTTTTGTTTCTGAAGCAACCAAAAACAAAAATGAACTGAAACCGCAAAATTTTTTTCGTTTAGACATTACTCCATGAATTCATTTCCACACAGTTGGTAGGGCGCATAGTTTTGTCGTTTTCGAAGAAAAAACACACGCACACATTTCTCTAATGAACGACTACGATAAGGCACTGTTCAATAGAAGCTCGAACCTGAGCGTTATTAATCCAGCTATACACGTTATGCCATGTCTCTTCGGACGTCCAACAATTGTTGCCTAGAAGTTCAGCGCCGGCAGTGGCAGCGGCGGCGAATAGGTGCCTATGAGGGGTGGCAGTGATGTGACGAGGTGGATTCGGATGAGCATTCGAGGTAGGTGCTGCTGAGGGGAGTCCTGCCGAGGCAAGTCCTGCCGTGGAGGTGACCGTTGCGGTGGCGAACAGCGGCGCTTCCATCAACGACGGCGCCCGTTCACGAGCGCATCGCAAAGCCATCTGGCACGGCCCAAGTGGGCGGGGCGTGCCAGGAAGCGCCGACCCCGCCGGCCCCCACTCCGACTCCGCAAACCCTTTGCCCCTCCCCGCCGCCGCAGCCATGAGGACGAACGAACGAACGGACGGACGGACGGACGACCGACCGACCGACCCACCGACGTTCAATAGGGGGCCGCCCCACACACGGCACGAAGAAGGGCCACAGACAGTGAGATGTGAGATGGAACGGAGAGGGAGAGATCGCGATCGTTCGACGACGGACACAAAAATTCAACATGTCGGTGGAGGTTTCCCGCTTCAAATGAACGCATCGCTAGGTATGCGTCCTTGATATGAATATCTTACAAACGTTTAATCCTTTCACGAAGAAAAGTGGAATCCGGTCAGTGCTCATCGCTGCTGGAGCATTCATTCTGATAGAAGTCGACTGGTTGACTAGACAAAAATCTTTCCACCACAGAATTCATGATATAGTCCGATATTCGGGATAACTTCAAAAGAAAAAACAAAGGAAGGAAAGCAAAAGAAAAGGCCGATCATGCTGTTTAAAATGGTGTCCACTGATGGCGACCAAATAGAAGCCAACCCGGTTCAGACACGTGACCGTCATTTATTTTGAATGAATTGTATCATGACCTAAATTCTTGCCCTTCCTACATAAATGCACTTAGGACCAAACCAACCTACACACAAATCAGAATAGCTACGTCCCTACACGAGACTTTCTACACCAGTGGATTGGCACGCGTCAATGAAAAATACGACTACATTCACCGAGGCTTTTGGTTTTCCCGCCAACGACACTTCAAAGTCATTGAAATCATTTATTTATATATGTATTGGATAACGACGGGGCTTTTTTAATTGTTCTGCTGTCATTTAGCAATGATCACCTTCAAACAGAACACCATATGCACGTAATGCGTACACTGATGTGCTGTCAGCCATGTAAAGGGCATTACAGTATGCCACCATAGTTCATGACGGTTTTTTTGCCGAGTTCTATTGCTACAACTTCAGCGATGTGCAACAGATTTGCGATTACTTTTCTACAAATGCCTGATGAGAGACGAAAAAAAGAAGTACCAATCAACGCCTACAAACATTATGCTTGAAATATCTCTCTGATACAAACGTTAGTGAATTGTGAAGCTATCGCAGAATTTACCTAGTTTCTCTGTAATCAGATGAATAGGAAACCGTGGAACGAGCTGTTTTCACTGCCTTCCGCACTTTTTTCTTAGAAAACAATCCAGTTGAATTTTCACGTCTCGAATGAAACGAACAATATCAACAATCAATTCTTAACAACTATAAACCAATATGAACATCTATGATAAGATAACTAATTCCGATCCGATTTCGTTAGACGTTATTTTTCTTTGCCTTGAACTTCACCAAATGTAGACGAATCCGACGGCGGTAATCGCAAACAACGGCCGCTCCGGCGAGGGGCGAAAGGCCAGACGCGTGCCGGGCACTGCCACTTAGCGCCGTTTCCTGCAAAAAGTACTGCATAAGAAGTTCGACCTAACATCCACACGAATCAGTTGACATACAACAAAGGTCAGTTTGAATCTCAATCCCTGTCGTTCACCTCTCTGCAACGACAAAAACATAATACAAGCGAACGGGGACCATTGAAGTGCTTGCTACCTACCCTTAGCTGAAGTCTTCCCGTAACAGAGTTAGTTTTCAGCTGATATCTACTTGTTACTTGCTATCTCGGAATCACTTTGAAAAAAGCCAGGTAGTTCGCAAGACAAAAAATGTCGTTCTGTTAAGCACATATCACAGTGCAATAAAGGAAAGCATTGAAAATGACGTACAAGTGCAAATAAGTACGAAATTAGAATTTACACGAGCAATTACATGTCTAAACGTCGATAGGCATGTGAAATGGAAAGTGAAAATGACGGTTATGCTTATGTTCACTTTTCAACCGTGACAGCAACAATAAACGTTATCTCAAATAATTCGGAAAGAAAACCGACACATAGGTGACACTGAGTGAGGTGGCTATTGAAGAAAATCGAAGCTCAAGACTCCACATGAACGGATCACAACCCAAGGGTCTCTGAGAAATATGAGAAATAAGCCAACGAAATAAGATCTAGAGAACAAAATCCGACTTATTTCTGTTCTAATGCAAGCAAAAAAAACACGCAGTTCTGCTAGTCTAGCAAATTCCTTAGTTGAGGCATGCATATTCGTTTCATTTCAGGGCTCAGATATTTTCACTCGTCGACATGCAAGAAATGAATAAGGACATTGCAGCTCTACAACATATTGAGTTAGATTGACAAGGACTAGAATGAGGCGTAAACGACAAAGATGAATGCGAACCAATTTATAAATGACTATACCATGATTTATTACAATCTAATGGCAGTGTTACCTCATATTTTTATTACAATCCCAATTAGTTTTAGATGAAAAAGAAAAAAAAAGGGCCGCGAAGACGAATGCGGAAATACTCAAAGGACTGCAAATGTTCCTATGCATAAAAAAGCACAGAACACAAATATGCGATGTGCCCTTTCATAAATGAGTCGAACGAAAAACAAAAAAGAAAAGAAAGCAACTGATAAGAACAATATGAGAGAATAAATCAATTGATTACATGGCAATGTAAGAGAATAAGTCAAACGGTTACAGGTAGGTTCTCTATGAATAGAATTTCTCTCTTATAATATCATATGACAATACAGCATAAGGCAAATACAGAATTCTTACTCAAATCTCGGAACCTCAAGATATTTCGTTCTATCTCATTCAAGAAAGTGCTAGTAGAAAAGCACACAATATTTCAATAAAGCACCTAAAAAGGATATCGCACAAAAAACAACAAACCTTTACCTTTACAAATAGAATAAATTAATCACAAACGATCAAGTTATAACAAGTATTCGCGACGGCATTCCTAACAACCACTTGCCATGCAATCTTCTAGCGGAACGTTTTGCTTGATTTAAGTCTCAAGTCAAGTTAGAACCAGAACAAAAAATTACTGAACGTAACACTATGAAGAAAACCGCATCTTAATGCCTAATGAAAACACGAATGAAGAAAAAAAACCGGCAAACACATACCAAATCCATTTAGCACGTGCACCCGGTTGATTCACTTTACTGCGCTCCTTTGTTCGTGGATCGTACGTCAACAATCCGGCTGCAATATTAGTGCTTAAGACAAATCTTACGCCAAATCAGACGACTTTTTTTATGAAATGAGGAAAGAAAGTCGTCTTAAGTAGTAGTACCGGATATTTTTTATAAGTAGCAATTAAAATTACATTTAAATAAAAAAGAGAAAAGATAAAATGTGACGGTTTAAAGGTTAGTAATAGAGATACTACGAAGAAGAAAATGGGTGAAAAACGGTGAAGGAAACAGTATAAAAATATTATGATAGAATGCGGAACGAATTTCATCATCCACAGATCCCTTACACAACCAGCACATTATAACCGCAAAATAAATCTCCATTGTGCCACAATCCGTTTCTTTTTCTACGAACCTTTATGCATTAGGTCGATTAGCTGGCTGACTGGGAGCCCAAGGTCATATGCGCGTTCTCGCATCGATAGAAGAGAACTTCATAAGAGCGACCTATTTACCACTTCAATACTTATCATCCATCCGCTTCAATTTCAAAGGTCATATAAATGAAACATTTCTTTCCAATGATCTGGAATGACGACGGACGATTCATAACAACGATTATAAAGCGATAGGCGGACATGGAAATACAATTCTTCCAACAGCTTTCTATACAACCACCGAACTCTACCTTTTATTTGAAACACTTTGGATCAATGTCACCTATGAAGGTAAAAAGAAACAAAGAAGATAAAGTGATACTGAACTATTCCTCATAGATGAGCCACATAATCGACTCTGCTAGACATCGTGGGGGTTATTGAACGCACATTTCGCCTATATAATGAAACGCGTGAGTCGACTGACCCATCAAGCCATTGTTTTTGTCCTTGTTAATAAGACTGGTACTAAATTGCTACTTGCTGATACTCGTAGGATTAATAGCTTGGTTTTTCTGCTGCGCAAAACCGAACCAAATACTACGTGTGCATCGTACAGCATCTCTAACTGCTGCGCTACACGTGCCACTAATAAAGGAACATGAGTAAAACATCGGTATCGTCTGGATAACTAATGTGAATGAACATTCCTTTCTTGCCATGTAATTTTCTTCCTTTTTCGTCTATCCGTAAATTCAAACACTATTTAGAATATGTACTTTTTCTTTGATGAGCTTACACGAGGTTGATAATGATATTCATCTTCGGCTAACGTTTGGACGTCTTCGTCTTCCTCAGAGCCAATGATCCGAGTCGGTGGTCCACGCTTGTTATTCGTCTCGACGTGGTAGCTTCGCCTTCGTGTCGAGTCAGGTCTTCCTCAGTGAGCCATCTCCTCGAATGAAGCATCCTCACTCAATGATGCCCTTTTATGCAGGTTGTTGACGGTGGATATTTCGAAATATTACTATTTAGAATATCCAATTTCTTTTCCATCAAATTTGAACAGGTGTATTTCAATCTCTACTCCACACTAGGGGAGCAAGTACTTTAGTAACTCTGCCATCTTAACAACTAGTTTAAGCTGTGTCAATTTTTTCAAATTTGTAGAAGGACCAACTGAAAGACTTGATTTCCATCACATTTCACATTAAAATTGTATCATTTCGCAAAGTACTAAACATTTTGCAAATGAAACTGATCAAATCAAAAAATTAAATGGCAAAAAGAAAAAGCAACGCACAAAGACGTAATGGTTCCATAGCTTTCGGATAAAGTGCCGCTATACCAAGGGCTATTCCATGTCGGACAGCACGTGGAAGAGCCGTGATACCTCCGGCTCCGGTAGTTGTCGCTTTCACGTCTACTTGTCCCAAAACTCCAGCAACCAGCATTGGGGCAAGTAGAATTTCCCTAAAAAACGTAATCGTTAGGAAGGTATAATATTTAAAAAAGATGAACATACGCAACATCGCAACGCATCCATTAAACCGACGGATTAGGTAGGTTTCTCTTATATGTTTGCTATAGAACTTTTTCTTCGAACGAAGGATCGAAGGTGAAAAAACAGTGAATATGGTGAATAATGATTGAAAAAATAAGTAAAAAGAGTGGCTACGGTGTTAACAAGATTATTAGGAATGTCTCGCTACACAATTTCTATTTTTGCATTCGTGATCCATCATCGCTAACCTATTGCCCACCACCCACTACTTTTCGCCTTGCAATCTAAATCCTTACTACTTTTGTACACATAAATAAAGTGACCAGCTCGTAAAATTGAATTTCATTGAACCGTAGCAACAGCACAATATTATCTTGAAAGAAAACTATCCAATGTTGTTCGCTAAGAGGATTTCCAAACAGCTATTATAAGAATGGCATTTACTAGGAGCACCTTCTTCGTAGAAACAAATTCAATAGTTGTCATTTCTTCTTTACTGCTTACTGAGGACAAGTCAACAATTCCAACAACCTTCACTTATTTGATTTGAATGTACGACGTCTAAGTTGTAGTCGAACAAACAATTCTCAAAGGTGTGTTAGTTGGTTAACCAACCAAAACAATTTTTATTTGCACAGGCGATATTACCAAGCAAATCAACGAGTCCAAAAGATTAGTGCTGCCAAGCTATTAAAAGTATTTATGACATTTTCTTGTTAAGCATGCAACCGAAAAAAGTAACTAATTTCAAATTTCCCTGAGGCTCAAATTTTAGAAATATGTATGAAAATTCCTCATAAGCAACGTACTGACAAAAAACCATAGCCCATAAGTGATATCGTAACGTGTCAATGTGAGACTTCCTATTTTTGGTGAATCGCCTACAGGTCGTTTTACACACTATTCAGAGAATCGCGTACAATCGTAAGCGTTCGTATGTTTATTTGCACAAGTTTTTACTTCTTCTTACTTTCACTCACACCATAACCGTTTTCCTTTACTAGATATAATTCCTATGATCTGTCCTTACTGAGCTGGAATGAGGCTGGTATCAGTTCTTGTTGTTGTTGTTGCCGTGATTCGGTGGCTGTTTTATTTCCATACCATTAGAAACGTATTATGTACGAAATAGGTTTTAAAAAAAACCTATAAGACATGATGAAGAAGCAGGGAATTCTCATTTTCCGGAGCTTCCCATTGTAGCAACTTCCTTGGGCGTAAGATCAATTTCACATGCAACGACTATGACCATTTAACCTCACTGATTATCGAAGAATTCAAAAATTCCTCCAGATTTCCTGAAATTTCATTCCGCAATTTTTTTCAATGTTTTTAAGGCAACAAACTGCATCCAATTGCTACAGCATGGTGTATCTCTGTGCGAATTACGTACACAAATATAAAATTAAGGCATGTCTCGTATACTATATGCGGGTGTTGTTTCGTCTAAAATCTCCCATATCGAATAGCTCAGGTTCACTGTTGGAGGACAGGTGACACTACCAGGAACGGCGGCGCCACTTGTCGCATGCGTTACGCCAACACAAGACACGACAAGCCACCACTGCCCACAAAACAACAACCACTTGGGCAAAAATCAACATCTTCCATGTCCGCCGACAGACACTATCGACACTGCGCATTCTGCTCAGCCACAACAATAGAAGAAATCTCTTCCTCTTTACGATTGAATAAAGGCCGCCAATATTCTCTAGAGAAGCATTTTTTCCTGTCAAAACAGCTTTTCACCTTGTTGGACATGTTATGTTAAAGTACGTGCGGAGCAAAAACAGTATACTGAATCAAAATGAATTATCAACAAATTCCAAAACCAGTCACGATATGAGGGCACCTTCGTTTGGACCAGTTGTCATCAGTGAATGAACAGTTCGGTTCTTGATCAAATGCTTCGATTAGAGATCCGAAGATCTTCCTAGGTCTAAACCACCTAACACAATAAGCCAGAAAAACATGCAACAGGGTACACAGCTTCGCTCATATAACAAAGGACGTCAATTTTAAACATATTATTCAATATTTAAACTCGAGGGGATATCGAGCGCAGAACGCTGTTTCGTTGGACGCTCCACACTTTGACCACAACAGATCCGAAAGGATTGTCTTCCGTTGGTCTCTGCTGCTTTAACTATACTGACAACGCCTTCTATGGATGATAACAGCGGAAATAAGAAAGCTTATAAAAACACAAGCGCTACGCATGGCTATCCATAACGCCCGCCAGCTTAGCCGAAACCCAATGCACATGGTCGCAAGCTGACAAGGTCTCTCTTTTACGGCATGGTCTTCTGGAACTTATGGTGACCGAATAGCAGGACCAACGCTGGGCGTTTTGCAGAGCAGTTCCGCCAGCCGCCATTGCAGTGATATCAAGAACACCGAAATGCTCTGAACCTTGTCTGACAACGACCCCAAGTAAGGAAGTTTAATATCCCACAAGCAACTGTAGGGGCATGCGTAATTATCCGGCCGAACAGGACAGACGTAGCGCTTTTAAATTTCCAATTCCCTAAAGCATCTCACTTGTGTTCGAAGATTACGACAACTTCAAAACAGCCCCACTAAAACAGTACTTAGGAAGAGGCGACTGCCACAAAAACTGTGCGTTGGATGTTAAAGCGTTCATTTCATAGGTTGAACCAATAAAACGACTAAAAATCGAAAAAAAAATGAACAAAATCCCATGTTCGCACGATTGACAAGACTCAGCTGCACTGTGAAATGGATGGGTATAGTTAAAATAGCGTTAATGTATTGTGTTCATGATTAAGCTGGGTGTAATATTGCCTCCTTTATACTTAGAAAAGGAGACGGGGAGCAACACATTCCATATGTTTGAATTTTGTTTTAATAAATCGGCAAATTTCCGAATGTTGGAGCTAAGCCTAACCCAACCTATTAGAATGAAATCAACACTTGAGATTTTCAGTCTACGTTTTTCAGGTTTTCAAAGTCTTTAGTTCTGGAAATTCTATTTCGACGTCAAGGGCTTCATGTATTAATCATATTCCCAAGGAACATGTCAAGTTTTAAAAACTAAAACACATAGACTTGATAACCTGACAACAGAAAACTTTAAATGATGCCTTCTGAAGAGTTGGATTACTTAGTACATGATTTCCGATTACGCACTGTAGAAGCTCCACGAGTTCCACGGTAGGTACAATTGTTCACTTATTAATATCATATATTCTTTTAGCTTGAAGCTTTCTCCTCCTTCGCAAATTTCGTTGTATGCAGGTGTATCCGATTCGCCCTGGAATCTTAGGATATTTATTCTAGAGCAAAGCCTTCCAGGTGTTCATCGTATGCAGCCGCCTACTTCTGTGAATCGGAGAAAGTCTTTCTCAGACAAATTTGGTAGCGAATTGCCGACTTCAAAGCATAGAAGATTTGGTTGCCTCGAGGCGCAATGGAACGAGATACCATGCATATATTACAAGGTATCGCTAAGCCACTGCGAATCCTGCGCATCCGCAGTTGCTTTCTATTTGTCGATAACGGAGTGACACTTGCAGACTTCATAATGCGTGAAGTAGCCCACCTCCATGGACAAAAACCATGAGCGAATTAAGCGAATAAATTGTATCCCAATACACTGGGGGACTGGGTTATTCATGAAGATGGGTGATCAGTAGGACTACTCCAGTAAGCAATATTTAAGAATAATGAACTACTCTCCTTATTCGGATATTAAACGCTCGAATTTCTTTTTTAAATGGACCGTCACCACATATACTGCGCTCAACTTATCACTACTTGCACTCGATTCATTTTGCTCCCACTAATCTCCTACAAAGGTGTGTCCGTACATTTCGCTTCATGTTGCCGCTGCTTGACGATCTCGCTTTCTCAACGAATGTTGTGGATTGCTGGTGAAGTCGAGAGATCCCAACACCAAGTCATTCGGGAAACCAGTGCGTGCAACAAAAGCTACGGAAGCTTTACCTACAATTTTCAAAAGTCATCTCAGCCCACACTATTTTGCTGAGTATTCAGCGCAGTAGAATCGTAGTTTCCACCTGATTCAGTATTTACTTAGCGGCGAGAACACACCACATCTGCCATTCTCTGCATCAATTACTTAATCTCCAATGATTCCTCCTAAAAGGAATTTAAAGCAAAAAGAAATTACGGCTAACTAAAGAAATACTCAACGAAGCCATGAAGAAAAAAGATGGGAAAAGAAAAATACAAGAAATCATGGCCATTAGCAATTTGATGAGCAATAGCTATAACATTTTATCAATAATGCTACGCCCTGATATGGGATATGAAAAATGATACAGTACAAAAGAAAGGAAAATAAAATGACCAACATCTCTGTTTTACCACCTTTTAAATCATAACACTTCAAACAGTAATTTTCTTGTGTTTGTAACACCTCGCGTTTGCTCAACAAAAATATGAAGAAAATTACTTGATCAATGCCGAGGTTAATAGAAAGTCGGTCGTGGCAGTTACTTCAAACAGTTCTATTGCACTATGCGCTCCACATCTAATCATGTTACGAAAAATAATATGTAACATAGAAGAAGTAATAACTCTAAGCAAATTTACTAGCCGTCGTTGTACTGGTCAGTAGTTCAAAAAAATCTCAGATAAAGTTCTCTTCATGACAAAAGACCACACAACAAGGTGCTCATGCGTAAAGTCCTATCCTTTCAGTGGATGTGTGATTATTTTGGAATTCTCCGTAAAATATTTGCAAGAACTGAGTTTATTTCCCAAATAGAAAACATAAACAGCTTAAGCCTAGCATCTCGGCGTTTAGCTCCAACCTGGGAAAACACTACGTTGACTTAACCGAAATGAAAAAAAAGACCCACAAAGACTTAAAAAACAGTAGTATTCGTAACAGCCTATTCATATTCACATAGTTTCATGTATTTATTTTTTAAGACGACGAAACTGACATCTGATGGGACTTCCATAATTTCAGATGATTGGAAAAGAGTGGTTTGAAACTCAAAACTACAAACACCGAAAAACTCAAATTTCATATGTGCTAGGTTAAGCAAAGGAAAAAAATTCAGACACTGGATATTGACATTGAGAAGCATGTAGATATCAGCAAATAAACAAGTGGGTGCATTCATATCTACAAAGAGATTGACAATTCATCGAGTTAGGACAGTCGCCTTAACTTAGCTTAAAAAGTATGACGAAACTAGAGTCATCCCATTCACTTCAAAACTTCAACAACCGCCGATAATTTCTTGGGAACTAGAACATTTCCAAACCTAATGACTTGATAGTCTTATAGAAAAGGCTTCAAATGTTGCCCAAAAATGTTATTTTGAAACCAAATTTGTTCGAAAATTAAGGCTACAAGAACTGAAAATGAAGTATATTCTCGTAAAACACCTAACGCTAATATGGCTATGGCGAAAAAATATCTCTTATTGCCACGACCGACTTTCTATTAACCTCGGCATTGATCAAGTGATTTTCTTGATCAAGCACAGAAATCACGTGGAAGTATAATGTGACCCTCACATCAGAAAAGCAGTTTTATATACTGCCCTATATCACGCGTGATAATGAGGCATTCCTCTCTGCGGTTCATTTTCGGATTTCTGGAATTAATCCAGAGTGCCTCGAGAGTTTTTCGCGCCTGTGTTCTTGATTCGCGTGCGAGGATCGTGACACATACTTCGAAGTCGTCCCCGTTATGTCTCTGGGTCCTATGCGTGCCTAGCGGGGTATTTGGTCTATTTTTGCCGGCTAGGTGTTCTTTCATGCGGACACAGAGGGGTCTACCCGATTCGCCAATGTATTCGTCTCCGCACGTCATACAGGAGATCAGATAAACTATACCCGGGCTCATGCAATCACCGTCTCTACCACTGGGGCAAATTATGCAATTTTGAGTTGCACATAGACGGTCATATAGGCGGTTACGAACTAGCTGGCGCTTAAGATTACTCGGTGGTATTTCAACTACGCGTACCGAATTCTCTAAACCCGCCCTTCTTAAGCAGCGTTTTATAGCTGTACTTATATCATTTGAGATGAAGGGTAGGATAAACGGGACCCTTCTATCGCAAGAGATGTTGTTTGGAGGCCTACGATTTCCTCTACACCTATTCTGAGCTACAGTTTCGTAGCCATTAGAAACGACTATTTGCCGTGCCAAGTTCCGGGACTCCTCTCTCTGCTCTCTTCCCGTGCACACGTTGGTTGCTGTTCGAAACATGTTTCCTATAAACGCCCTTTTCGTGTGAGAGGGGTGAGAGGAGAGGTAATGAACCAAGATATTTTTACTACTTGGCTTTCGGTACCACTTTGTAATGTAGCCATTTTCTGATAGGTGAATTTGTACGTTCAAAAATGGAAGCCATTTTTCTTTCGGCTTTTCTCGGGTGAACTTGATATACTCTGACTGTGCGTTTAACAATTCGAAGCATTTGTCCATTTCCTCTTGTGTTGAGCAAAGGACAAAGCAGTCGTCTACATACCTACAGTAGAGTAGCGGCCCGAGATCAGTCACCGGTGCTTCCACCTTAGACATAAATGCAATGGCAAGGCTTGGAGCCAGTCGTTGTCCCATTGCCAACCCTCTTATTTGAGCGTAGTACTTTCCAGACCATCTGAAGATTGAGCAGCTCAAGCATTCTTTTAAGAGTGCCATCAGGTGCTCTATCCTGAAGCCATACATGTTTATTTCTCCTTCGTGTTGTGTAAGGAGTTCGAATATGGCTTGCATTGCGGAGNCTTTTATACACGATGCTGATGGTGGATATATAATGACAATGTCCGGTTGTAACAACTTGTATTTCTTCCGGACATACATCATTGCGCACATCGTGCAGAGGTCGGTGTATTATCAGCCAGCACAAAGCGTAGTAATATTTCGAAACCGACCTTCCCTAAACCTCGGTGTGACTAATCAATATGTATTCTTTCTTGATAAGCTTGCACGAGGTTGATAAATATATTTATTTTCGGCTAACGTTTCGACGTCTTCGTCTTCCTCAGAGCCGGTGATCCGAGTCGATGGTCCATGCTTGTTGTTCGCCTCGACGTTGCGTCTTCGCCTTCCTGTCGAGCCAGATCTTCCTCAGCGAGCCATCTTCTCGAATGAGGAATCCTCACTCAGTGATACCCTTTTATACACGATGCTGATGGTGGATATATAATGACAATGTCCGGTTGTAACAACTTGTATTTCTTCCGGACATACATCATTGCGCACATCGTGCAGAGGTCGGTGTATTATCAGCCAGCACAAAGCGTAGTAATATTTCGAAACCGACCTTCCCTAAACCTCGGTGTGACTAATCAATATGTATTCTTTCTTGATAAGCTTGCACGAGGTTGATAAATATATTTATTTTCGGCTAACGTTTCGACGTCTTCGTCTTCCTCAGAGCCTTCGTCAGGAAAAAAAAACTTACTTATGAGTTTTATAAGTAAGTACAAGACGGGGCATGTTGGTAAGGCAACTTAAAGTTGAGAGATAACTGATGGTTTCAAACCAGCAGCCCTTGCCATTTTGGCCCATTCGTGGTTTAGTTTTCGGTATTTACTTTTGAATTCCTCCTCAGATGATGGGCGATAAAGCGAAGCATCTTCAAGATGCTTTTTCGTTATCTCCACATCTAACTGATGAGGAATTACGACAAACTCTCCACCCTTATCACTAACGGAAAGTCTTATGGTTTTCAACCTTATCACCTCTCGAAAGAAGGCGAAATCCGCCGAAACGTCAGCTTAATCGTGAACAAAGAATAGTAATATCTCTTATTGGTTCGAAGATTTGTAGAGTTCAATGGCTTATTTCAAACAACAAACTTCACTATGAACTGAACTACACGCGTCTAAGCTTGGGAGTGGCAACAATTTTCAAGCACGAATGCACTTACAGCAATGCATATCGAATACCAATGAAACCTCATTGAGCTTCGGAACTTTATTGCTAGCGAGCACTGAAATAGTAAACACGACAAGGGCAGCGAAGCTTTCCCTTGAAAGAGATAAAAACTTAAAAATAAGTTCGTTATTCTCGGTATTGAACTCATAATAATACTAGCATTTAGTAAGAAGCTAGTAAGCGTGCGTGTGGCGCAGTGGTCGAAGACGCTCTGCGATACACATAAGGGATCGGTCCCCGCGCCCATGACCCACCAAGCCTTCCATCTCTCCGGGTTCGGCAGATTGGTACCAGACTTGTCTGGAAGGATAGCAGCACTGGCTCGATACATCGGTAGGCCACCGCGAGTCATTTTAAAGGTTAGATATGCATTCAGTAACCCCCAACGATGCTTAATGAAGTCGAACGCATGGCGCATTCGTCAGGGATTGATTAACGCTGACAGCTTCTTTATCCTTTATCCTTTTATTAAAAAGCTCATCTGCTCTTGATAGTTAATAGTTATTTCACAATGTTCCAACGTATTTCCTCTGTTTTTCACCTTGGAAACGCACCATATAAACATGCAGACCATCTGACCAAATATGTCGATGCGCTACAGTAAGGCTTTACCAGTAAATTTTTAAACAATTAACCAAACATGGATTAGAAAGGTGCAAAAGTCTTTTTTTCTACTTTATTTTACACCATCCGACATCTCACATTGTCTAGACCACAATGCTTATTACACCGATTAACTGTTGACTATTTGGTCAATTATTGACTAATTGACTGACTGTATTGATTGCATTACACTACATTAATTCAATTATCAGTTCTTGATTTGTTTCCTCAAAAACATATCACATATTCTACGCAGGTTCTAGAATTTTGCGTATGCTTTCGACTGCTGCTTGAGGACTTTCAGTGATTTTTCCAATGTTGCTGTATGTTATTCCAGACGATTCTTCCTTCACTCCAGAGATAGCCGTTCTCCTATGCCTTCATTAGTAGTCTGCAGCTCTTGTGAATTAGAGAAACCCAGAATATTCCAGACTAGTTTGTGTCCTAATCGGGACAGATGAAAGATCTGTAGCACAGGACGGAATTCAACTAGCCTATTGCTCGTACTGAACGGTATTGCTAGTAGTGCACCACTTCTCTAATGCAGAAATTGTCATTATATACTTTATCACTACGTCTCGATTTCTATTTACTGCCTAATCTTTTTTTTATGGCAGGCTACTATGCGAAAAACAACCTTAGCTGGACTTCAAACCCACGATTATTTCTTCGGGGGCTCACGTGCTATGCGCCACTACAACTAAGGACCTTGCTTTGTCTTCCTCTCAACCAACTTATTAATCTATCGGAGATACCAGAAATTACCTGCCAATGAGAATGATCCGGGGAACACAAGACCGAATTGAACCCAGCTAAGGTGAATCTGCAACCAAAATGAAAGCGTCTTACCAACTTCTAACTTCTACATACTACATCACTGTCTCAACGCCGATTTTTGCTCACAACAGCATCCCCTTTGACGTGTGGTTGCTTACAGCACTGGTAAAGTAAAAGACTGACTAGCTGAAAGAACGACAAAGCTAGAGCCTTCCCTGGTGTGAAAGATAGCATGTGAGCCCTCGAAAAAGTAATCGAGGGCTTGAAGTCCATCCGAAGTTCCGAGTATTGCTCATACTTCGGCATCATTGTGGTTGTATTTCTACTGCGGCTTAATTTCTTCATGATATGAGTATCATACGCTTGCTCATGGACTCTATAAGTGTGTGTCCCACTAAAGTACGAGGCGTATAACCAAAACAGTTGGTGTATATACAACGCTGTTCACTATGTGGTCAAAAACTTGGTATTATGAAAAAAAATGTCAAAAAAACTGTATGTTAGTACAACCTTTCCAAGCCGTAAGTACGGCAAAATCCATGGAAACAATGTTGTGAGAGGAATAATTTATGGACAACCTCACGCCAATCAACCGATAATACAAAAGTATTCGGGCCTTTAAAATGCACTCCACCTGGCAATAAGATGACGAAAATCATGTAGATCTTGACCATTGATATCGAATTTACCCACACCACCAGCTAGTACCTGCACTTCAGCATTCGTGTTCTTGCAGCGTGTTCTGCAACAATAGGCAAGAAAAACACTTCGCATGATTAACTTATGCACTAGACTGTTTCTTACAATGTTCACGATTCTGCCAGATGCTCGTAAAACAAATTTGTAAATCCTTAAATTTTTTCTCCAAATTTGAAACAATAACCTTCAAACCAAGTGAACAGCGTTCTTCAACGCAACTTAGGGAATTCGAGTCATAAAATCTACTACCAAGCATATCTCACAATGTCATTTTGCTAGAGCTCAAGTATAAAAAGATAGATTATTTAAAACATAATTATTTAATCACTACTTGACAAAAGTGCTCCTTCGCTGAGTGACAGGACAAATAATGACCTCAGGAATGGCTGGTCCAAATAGTTTTGATTTCGTTAACGCCGTCAACGGTTCCCTTAAATCACGAGTAGTTTTTGAATTATTGGAAACATTACAGAAGATAAAGATTAATGAAGAACATAAAACATAGTAGCAATAGTACCTGTACTGCATGATAAATTTTTCTTCAACTGCAGAACACGGTAGACTGACAAGGTAATCAAAAGCCATCAATAAGTGAGTATACTAAAAATAATGGGGAAAATAGTTACCTTAAACTAAGGAATCTCATAAAGCAATGGAACTTCAAGTCACACGGTATGATACTTGGATCCCTTAGTGTAACCTTATAAACAAATTTCTGCAATCTTGTCATGGAGTTCAAGCCTCATTTACTTTCTTACATGGATACTTCAATGGTCTTCACTGGTTATGCGAGGCCCAGCATAATTTCCATTCTCTAGAGATTTGCCGGATTAGCCACTGTGGTTCCCCGGAGTTCCGACAGCCTGGTCAAAGTCTGCCCCAAATCGCCACCACTACAGGAAGTCGCCGTGTCTGTGGAACAGAGGGAAATTTTCCACCACGCGACTAGTTTCATACCAGGACTCCTGGATCCTGGCACTGGTTTGATTTTGGATGGGCTTCCTGATCGAAACACCGGATTCCTTGTCAGCTTGGGAGACCTTGCCGGGGTTAGAAAAGAAGAGGTGAATACCCTCGTTGTACATCGCAGCCCGACACCCAGGAACACCTCCCAGCCACAATAAGGCGGTAAACCGTTGGAAAGCAAGCCAAACTTAGAAGATAAAAAACATCAAATCCCACACTTTCGAAATTTACCAAAAAATTCCAACTAAATTATAAGACGGAACATCAACGCCTACCAATTCCTCACTAATTTTTTCGCCCAGTTTCTTCTCAAGCTTCTCTCGACTAAACCACTGAGTTCCACTAGTGTTTCTAAAGTAAAAAAAGTAAAAAAAATTGTTAAAGCAGTACCCACTAGTTCGTAAAACAAGAGCAATACCATAAATCGTCGCAATAAATTAACCGTAAGGAGGTATTAAGTGGTTGAAATGAGCACGGTTTGTGAACGAATACTTACACCGACTCTAATTCAGGAGATTTCTTTCCAGCACCGAAATGATCATTGTAAAAAGATGTCACTGTTTTGGTTTTAATCCCAATATCCTTAAATAAGAATATTTCATAAAATGAATTTTAAAAAATCGTCCTATTTGAGAACAGGAGGTGTACCGATAGTAACCCATAAAAAATGGGCAAAAGTGTGTAGAATCTACTATCTTTCGGACGACCCTCCTCATCAAATGAAAACTGACGAAATCTGAAAAGAAAAAGTTGTACGCAGCAATGAAAACTCAGTGATATGAACAAATCAAATATGAGTTCAATCTCTCACTTTGGGAGAATCTCGTCAGGTGGACGCATAACCGGTCGCGCTTTTAGATCAAATAAACTGGATGGGAACAGATATCTGATCGCCCTAGAAATGAAAAGCTTCAAATCTCATATGTCAGCTTACAGTCGGTTCCATAAAACTATTCAATCCAATCATGGAAGAACAATAACATCCAAGAGTCATTCACTCGTCAATATCCTCTTGCGTCATTGTATGCGGATCCAAATTCATAATATTAGCCAAGTGTCGCCGTCCCAGCTCAAAATCTGCCCTAAGTAAAGAAAAATCGTAACTGACTACATATGGAACATGTTGATAAAGACGACGTACCTCTCTCGAGCCATCATGGACGTGTGTTCTTTACAAAGTCTCATGTATGTTTCGAGCGCTCTACCGATTCTTTTGATAGGTCGTTCTTCTGCGGTAATTGCAGATGCGGCTACATCCGTGGAAAGTAATCGTGCTATCCTAACGCTGCGAAGGAGCATAGGGAACATAGTAGTGTTACCCAGAATTATTACCAGAACTGAACACTCATGAAAAACTGACGTGATCTTCGAACAGAAGCAAACAACCAAATTCGTAACAAGAGTGTCGAAAAAATTACAACATAGAGAGTGCCAACGGATGGATACCATAATCTTTCGGCCTACGAGAACTCAAAATTACAGTTCACCATTCCTTTCATGAAATCCATCATTTTTACGTAGATAATGTTGTCCTAGCAATGTTGCGTTATGAAAGAACTAACACTACAGTCAAAAACGAAGCAAGTACAAAGTATAGGAGAATCTAAGACTTCGAAACAGAAACTATGACCTTAACCGAAATAAGCTCTTTATCTTGATCAGAGAAATGTACAATTGGGTCAAAAAACAACTGAAAGGGATCTCCATTACGAGAGAACCAACACTACAAATACGCCGCAATAAATGTATTGGTGATAAACTGCTTCGGAAGTTGATATCTAGGAAGGGCACTTATGTTGACCGCGACAATTAAGTAATTTCCGAAATATCATGTCATGAAATCAGTCACTTTCAACAGATATTAAATATCACGGACAACTACTAAGTCTGCAATGTTGTTCTACGTTGTTTTCATTTTATTCCTTGACGACGTAGACCTGTTAATAGCAGGTAATGATGAATTTCTGAAATTCCTTCGAGAATAAGTATGATCTATCACATTTAATGGATGACACAACTCCTTGAAAGAAAGTTGGACGGGAAGTTTCCGCTTTTTAAATCTTCACAGCAAACGAAGTAGTTCCACATATAATACTGACATTTGGGTTCCGACAAAATTCTGCTTATTTAATTGTTCTCAGTTTTGAAAGAGGAGTTTTAACGCAAAAACATGAGGGTAGAGGAAATAAAAGCGGCTTGCAGATTTCATAAAATCAAAACTTCATGACGTAAAATAAAGAAAAAGTTGTATCTTATTTGAGAAGACCTGTAGATACTAATCGCTTTCGATCAAATTCCAACTTTTTTTTTAATAAATTGACCTCTTGGTTTGCAATTGCAAGCTGCCATTAATTTCACTTCAAATGCATTGCCTTCAAGGCGTGACGAGTGTTGTTTGCTAGTAACCCGAACTTATGAGCAGAGAAGTCTGGCATCATCAGATTCATATATCACGTATACTTATTTGAATTAAGATGCCAGAAAAAGTGGTTTGAAGACTCAAGAAGGAATAAGTTACCATTTAATATTGGAAGGGTTACATACAGTTCATAAATGCAAAAGTGGAGGAGGTTGGCCGCCCGTCTCAATAAACTGCATCATATTTAGAAAACGAGTTCTCTCAGGTAACAACTGGAAGGAAATACAATGCCCAATAAACTTATCAGTCATACACACTGCATGCTTGTTGAAAACCGTCACGCTATGTGCGTAAGGAGCCTAGAACAGCATGAACTTTTGCACTGTGATCTATATAACGGATGGAAGAATTGTTTACCTTTCTATTCGCACTACAACCAGAATAGAAGATAGATTCCGTTACATTCCATTCCTTCCACAGTTTATCATGCTTGTATGCAGCAAGCTAAACACCGAATAAGATTCTTTCCAACTAGACATCTCTTTTCCCACTTAAAATGCTTTTGTATTAACCTTGACGCCGTCCTCAACCTTCATTTCATACGAACGAAAAGCTTTTGATCCTGGCTCAGCAATCTTCACTTTTCCGTAAAAGAAGTCCTAAAACAAATTGATAACTTTGGTTGAAGATAAGGGCACCTCTCAGAATATACTGTCACATGCAAGGAATTAACCTGACTGCTTAACATTCAGAACCCCACGTGCGTTCACTTCAGTTCACACGTGGAGGAAGTGAGGCGCAATGGCTGCTGCGGACTGATGTAAAACTATCTTTTTTATGACCGTTTATTCAGCCGTGCAAAAACTTTTTATTGCATTTGCAGCATTCAATCGAAGGCTTGTTTACCACAGACGAATGCATCAAGCGTAAGATAATAAGAGGTATTCTCTACACTTGATAATTTACAAAAGTGTCCCGAGGCGGAGGCACCTCAGAGACCATTCTTCTAACAAATGTACAGAGGTAATGAATCCCGTATGATTTCCATGGTAATAGATTGCGTTTCTCAGTGAGAACAAAACATAAACACTGTTGCTAATGAAGACGGTGTATATGACTAGCACACGAGCGGCAAAGATGTCGATGCGAATTGGTATCAACTCACAGTAAGTGCCATGAGAACTGCGCGTCAACTATACGTTGTAGCCATACAGATTTTGACATGATGTTGCAAATATTAATTGTAACGAACTAATTCGGAGTCCTCATAAGGCCAGTGGTCATAATCGAACAGAAAGTATCCATCCGCACATTTCCATGTTAACCAGTGGTCAATTACAGTATGAGATAATTTCTCGAATGGTGTTAATCGACGAGACAAAGCTCCATCCAAAATAACCTAAAACTATTTTCCGTTTCACGGTGATTGGAAAAAGAAAAATAAGGCAAGACCTCGAATATCGCATAGTTTCCATCCGGCGGTGCATCAAAACCCCTACGAGCAACTGCTTTACGGCAAACTTCCTCTGCTGCGAGGTCAATCTTTACATTAAACGGTCGATCTTCTCGTCGCCACATATGAATCGGTACCAGTAGTCCATCAGCACGAGTCTTCAAAAACGGAAAAGTGATATCGATGGAAAAGCAACACCATAAACGCGTAACCGAAAATTGAGAATGGGAAGAAAGTCGAAGTGTGAGGAGTGTAAGGAAAACAATGTTGCTGTAAACGGCAATAAGACAAAGTCAGAAGTCAAGGTAAAAAAACAACCAGAAGCTGCGCAAACAGAAAATTCTCTACCGCGTTAGAACTCGCCGCCTTTGTCATTTGTGCTTGCTCAATCATAGCACGACAAATTTCTTCCCGACTGGTGACCTGAAAATCAAAACAGCATTACTTTCATAGAAAAAAGAAAGAGAAAAAGAAAGAGGGAAACAAAAAAACAGGAGATAAGAAACATACTTCGAATATTATATCATATCCGTTAATCAAATCTATAATGGCTCCAATTTGCTCTGTGGTGTCATTATAGCAAGCATTCTCATCATTGTTCGTGTTAAATAAAGACGGACCAAAGACCTAAAATAAGAAGAGCGAAAATATCAGGCATGAAGTCTACCAAATACATATTAAATTAATATTGATGGTAGCTTTAGTACACATATTGGAAGTGAAAACCAATTAAACGAGAGAAATCACTCAATGTGTTGAAGCAGTATGATGGCAAACATCACGACTACTCCAACGCCACACTGCTCGAAATTCGACAACGACGTACCTTTGCTAAATTTTCCGTAGTAGCCTTGTTAATATCCCGATATTTGACAACTTCACTAAGATGCGCTATTAGCTTCCGTAATGTATGGTAGTGAATTAATGGCATGAGTTGTAGAATGCGGCGATATTCTTGGTAGCGTAAGGTATTTTCTGTAGAAGATCGAGCTTGTACTGAAAATAGATAACAAAGTTATACACGGTTTTGCTGTAAATAAACATACAATATGCGAAAAGTACTCACAGTTCCGACTTTTTAACTTAAACCTAAACTATGAATAATTTACTTCGGCTACCTAACTTGTTGAGGATTTCTAACAAACAATATGAAGTAAGATTACCGCTCCAATAGATATGGCTTAAGCTAGTCACATATTATTATATTACATACATACTTTACTGAGTATTCTTGAAGCCAAAATATGATCCACGTAAAAAAACTTGCACAATATCAAAATGTATCCGCAGTGACGTAAAAAACTATTTAGAATCACTTGCCAACTGTGAAAATCTCTTTGTGTATTGCAGGAGGGAAAAGAGGTGATTTCAGACGTCGGAAGAACTGCCGCAAAACATCAGCAACTGCATAAGCAGTTTCCTCCGTTATTGATGCGATATGCGTTCGAACGGGATCTATGTGATAAGAGTACAGCCACCAAAAGAGTTACTTGTAAGAAAGTAGTGCTTAGGGGTTCATAACAACGTTCAATAATCGTTTATAGCTACCTTCACTAAGACGCTTGAAGATGTCTGTGGCCTCTGATATCTTGCCGTTTCTTCTGTATATGCCTTCGGAGTGGATGCCATAAACAGCCACAAAGCGTAGACATTTATCAACAAGCTTAAAAAAAGGTTACAAATTGCTAATTCTCACGCTGCATGTCAACAAAGTGATGATCAAAAAGTATGAGAAAAAAGGAATCACAACTAACAATTGGGACATTATCTGCAGTCAATCGGCAATCCTCTAGGACAGTAGATGGAACAGAGAGCGCATCATGAATTGCTGAATACCACTTTCTCGTACTCAAATCATTAGAGCATTCCACGTATAACGCGCTGGAAATAATAAACTAGTCATAGTGTACGTTAGTGAAACAAATTCACATTCGAAAAGGAAGTCTTGATATAACCGAAGATTAGATAATCCAGATGATTTTTAAATTTAGCACCAAAGTAAGTTAAGTGCGACTAGTAGATGTTTAGGTAAATTCGCGGGAGGAATATCCACTACCAAAATATCTTTTTCAAAAAAAGAAAAAACTCATAAAAACCACAACAATTAGCTGAAAGTATAACAAGAAAAACAATAAATTAATAACTTCCCATTCTATTTAAACAGATTAAAAATAGTAACTTCACAGGCTGCGTCAACAATTTGCTCTGACAAAAGTTTGAAGGCAGATAGAAGCCAAATGTTGAATAACAGATACTAGCTAATTGCACATACTCTAGCAAAATATCATAAAAAGATAAACGCAAGCGAGAAATCCACTTAAATACTAACCACCCTTCCAGAGAAATCAGGAATGGTCCTTTCTGATCCTTCTTCTTGCAATTCGGACACCAATCAACTTTATCAACACGTTCACGAAGTAAAATAACCTGGAATCAAATGTATTGGCAATACGCACTGATGGAAAGTGCATCACATCAGTAACCTTTCTAACATCCATTTCATAAATGTAATCAGGAGAATCCAGAAGAACGTAGAACAATGCTCTCCCAGATAAGGCGGCTGCGGTATACATCCATTCACCTGTAGCGCCTGAAAAGAAAACATCATCAGATGCTTCCACTACTTCGCTAACACCAAAGTCGGTTTAATTCCAACAAACTATCAGATACACTCTAGACTTTCTGGATTCAAATCGAAAAAAGGGTCTACAAAAGCGTAATTCTACAGGCTTTTGAAGAACAACACAAACATACGTTATTTCCAAGCCATTAGAAAAAACAACAATACCTCACCTTGACGTAACCAGAACGTGCCGAATACTGTAGGCTCATGGATACTTGACCGCAGCAAGTCGTATCTGGATAGCCAACACTGAAAGTTTCCAAAAAAGCCAATCTTCTACACAGAACTCTTCTGAAGAAAAGCACCAAATTACAGAGGCCCACAATTTTATGTTAAATTTAAGATTAACTTTAGAGTTAAGTTATTTCAAAATTTCCAGTATACGCAAAAATTTGCTGATCATTTTAGCGCAATGGTAGTCGTGTTGTCCTGCATGCAAAATGCGCCTAAGAACAGCCAAGACTCCATACCGCTTTCCTCTAATCTCTCCGAGATGGAGGAATTGTCACGACATGTTTTCGAAGAGATCATTCCGATCTACAAAGGTGGTAACTATTTGTGATAAAGAAATAAAACATCTAGCATGTCTCCCTCACGATTCTTGGGACAATCGACTCCACCAGCATTTATTGACATTCAAAAGACTAAGAACCATTAGGCAGCATAAAACATAGATGCAAAATCCGAATAAAACGATAAGATTCGCATAATGCGATTTAGGTTCGTGTAAAATAAGAACAAAAGATCGATTAACTAATAAATATCTTGATTTTCAGTAATGTTAGACAAACAGTTTGCCACTTTGAAATAGTGACAAGTTGATAACCTCTTGTTTTATGATAACGCTTCATAAAGATGACGTTTCGGTAGATTTCGCCTTTCTCAGAATCTGCAAAAGTCAAATGGACGGCAATCTACCTAGCCAAAGGACCTGCCAATCTACTCAAACTACCATTCATAAAGGAGGTATACGCAACATTCCTGAATTAAGAATGGGCACTATGTTATACCTCTTTATTTTCTGCCTACTATAATTTCGCGGCAGGGTACTAAACCAAATACAACCACAACGTTGCTGAGATATTTGCAAAACTCCGGACCGCAGGTGTCCATAGTGGGGAACGAACGCGCTATTGTCCTTTCCGGGGAGTAACGCGTTCACCACCACACCATGCGGGTC